TAAGAATATATGTGTAAGTATTTGCATAATAGTATGAAACAAAAAAGTGCAGTGTCTGTTTTTCTACACAAAACAGGTATAGTACGTAATAATAAGTACCTGCTAAAGTTAACAAAATAATAATTTCTTACTCATAGGAAAAGCGATTCTTGAAAATAATTAACAGTTGTCCTAAGTGTTCCACGGCTAGCTGACCCCGGCTATTGGTAAATACCCATTTCAAAAAACGAAAAGGACCGTTCAACATTAATGGCGAAACATTAACCGATTTACATTTTAATTGTAATCCCATGCGTATTATACAATAACACGTACATGTCTGCCTCTGATCTGTAGCATTGCATCGATCAATTTATTCGATACGTATCTAGCGGCACCCTAATGCCTACCCTGTCAGCCTGCCCAGGTTTTTTGCTGAGGGACGTTGGCCGTGTGTTTCATTGTTATTTCTGCGTGTGTGGGTAAGTTAGACGCTTTGCTTGGTCGAGTGTATGGCAAGTGTGTTTATGGCAGTCAGTAGCATAGTGTATTGTGAGCAAACTCCAGTTCACCACTCTCGTAGCACTTTCATTACACTTTTCCTTGGGATTTTCCTTTTTAAATACTCTTACTATTTAGTTGTGGGTCAAATAAGACTGCCTCTTGCGACGCCTGTCCACCCTCTCAAAAAGTGACACTTTTCACGATTCAGAGCACACCTTAGTCCTTTTATGTTTAAATTATTATGCAACTAAACATACATATTTGTTACAATAAAGCTAATATTAAAGAGGCGTAATACATTCTGTGGGAGGTCATTGACCAATGATCCTATGTAGATACTGTCACGGATTAGATGTTGTTTTAGATAGACTAATATCTGAGAACATCGTTTATTGAAATAAGTGTACCAAATTGGACAAGCCTAATAGCTGGTGATAGAACCCAAAATTAGAAAAAAGTTGCCTTAAACATATGTAGTCTTATAGCTGGAATTGCTGATAATAGTTTATTGAGCATATTCAAAAAGCCTAAAGTATTGTACCAAAGGGCATATGAAAAGTCTTCAAACTCTCACTCTCTTATTGTAAAATTAATTACATATGATGACTAGTTTCGAAGTCAAGATCAACAGGTCATACAAGGCTAAAAAATGTAATAATATGAGCCACCAGTAACGCCTCGGTCGCTAGGAACCAAACGGCAAAATGTTACAGAAACCTGTTTAGGTGGGTATGTGTAGGTTGATTTCGGCTACATTTTAAAAATATTTGAAATATACAGGATGTCCAGGAAAGGCGTACCATATCAAAGTTATGTATTTTTAAATGGAACACCCTGTATTTTACTGCTTTTTTGAAAGCATCATAAAAAAATAGGTGAACTTTATTAAAGGTTCTGCATACCTAGGACTTACAGTTTGTGAGATATTTCAATTTTAGTGAAAATGCACTCATAGCGTAGAAACTTAATATTAACAATAAAAAATTAATTTTAAGGAAGAAGCTTTGGAGGGTCTATTTTAGATCATTGAAGTTATAAATTGTTATATTTGTCGTCACTTAGTATTATACAGGGTGTTCAAAAAACTGCTGAATACTTCTCTCAACTTTAAACAGCAATAACTTGGTTTTATCGAGGTCTTTATTGAATTGGTTTGGGTTCTTCTTGATGACGTCTCTTTAAATATACTGAGAAAAATGAGGATGCAATTAGATGGCGCACCTGCAATATTTTCATATGCAGTGAGAAATTATTTAAATGAAAAATTTAGTAATAAATGAATATCACTGGGTATATTTTTTTACATAAACATTTGAAATTGCCTAGTGTTTTGCAAAATTGTGTAGCATACGTATTATCTAATTAACAAAGCGATAATGTAAATCATCGAGAAATAAAAAATGTATGCCGGTCTCCGTAACTAAGAGTAAGTTATGTGGTGGTACGGCCACCACATAACCTTATCCTTATCAAGTGATGTCATACCGGTCGCTAACTGACCTTAGATATTTTTGAAAACACATCCGTCAACCAACGTAGCTATCTTTATAAAAGTTGACTTTAGCTAGCGCACAACCAGTCCGTATCATTACACTACGTGATCGAAGACGCAAAAAATATGTTCTTCAGTGACATAATCGTCGCCTCAATTGGTTTTGTTCTCGTCATATTTTTTGTAGCCGAAGATGTGAAGGTGTTAAAAAAACACTCATACTACAACAACACCATACAAGAAATAGTTTTGTACGAGGTGAACCTTGGGGATATCGAGTTGGAAGCATTCAAAGACTTGTCAGTGTATTTATTACAGATTTCCGAAAATCCTTTGGAGAGATTAAGGAACGGTGTTTTCGTCAACGTTTCAACGCATGAGATGTTACTGTTCGGTAACGACATAAAAACGATCGAACCTGGTACCTTCCAGGACTTGCGTCCTTTGGAAAAGGGCGGAATTCGAATGTTGTCTTTGTCATTTAACAAACTGGGAGTTATACAAAATGGGATTTTCACCAATACAAAGTTTAGGCAACTTTTTCTGGTCGCTAATGATATCAAATACATCGAGTCAGGTTCTTTCGACGGGATGGTAAACTTAGTTGAGTTGAACTTGGAGGATAATCTTCTAGAGAGCGTTGAGGTGGGAATTTTCCAAAATTTAGCAACTCCCGCATCATGGGTGGACTTGTCTTTAGCCGGGAATGTGATAGAATTTGTTGATGTCTATGCCTTTGAAAACACCACGCTTCATGATCTGGATCTACGGGATAATCAGTTGGGAGTGCACTTACTTTGCCACAATTACTTTAAAAGGACTAGCGTAGGTATTTTTCTTGTCTAAAATAGTAGCGCAGAATGTTAATAAAAAGGAAATTACCGATTTTAAAAATAGTTTTTGTGTTGTAACAATGACTTGAATAATACCGCAATTTCAATTTTTAATTGTTAACAAAAGACGTTTCTCGCAAGTATTGGTTTTGTTCTAAATTAGCAGACCTGTTACAAATCGTTTCCAATTCTTTTTATCACGATAAAGTCTTGAAATGGTATATTAGCTGCTAACTCTTTCAATTTAAAATTGTAAGTTACTGTAAAGTTTGAACAATTTTGATTTGTTACTCCTGATTGTTACTTTTTAAAACGTTTTCCGTAAATGACACGATAGTAGCTGCCGAATTTGACGGTATGTCAATTGATAACTAAGAAAAATAATAAAAAGGTACGCAAGATTTAAGTTAAAATTTTTTTAAATATAAAATCTAAAAACCTGTTAGCCAAAATGACTAAATGGAGTGTCCAAAAATTATTTCATTTATAAAAACATTTCTTTAGGAAATGCCTTTTAAATTCTGATTTAAAATGCATCCATGTTGAGTTGCCTAACAGAAAGTGGTAAAAAGTGAAATAAGAACACCTTCAATTGTCTAGTTATTTCGCTTTTGCAGAAAAAAAATATAAACATCAAAAATGTCATATTTTTTTCTGAATATTTGATGTTTATATGTTTTTTTCATTTAATGTAATTAATTGTATTATTAATGTAATTTAACGAGAAGGGAAGCTTCCTGATGAATAATCCCAAGTAAAATGTGGAAACAAACACGTCTCTTTGAAGCTGCTGTCTTTGTCAATTATATTTGGACATATCATTTTTAGTTTTTATTGTGGACAATAGCGTGATATAATTCAATGGGCATATAGCGTATGCAGTACTTTTTTCCCATAATATCAGCAGAATCTTGCTTGTGGGGTTAGATATCTCCTCTCTCCTCCATAGGTACCTACATTTCTGGTATCGAGCAACATTGTTTGACATCATGTGATAAGATTTTCTTAAAACAAATATATAATTTTTTAAAACAGAATAACAAAATGTCAGAGTTAATCATGTGTTTTTTTATATTAATTTTTGGCAATTTCTGTTAATATTTTTATTTATTATCGTATATTTATGTAAACTATCATTGACCAATTGACCCTATATAGAAACTGTCATTGATTAAAAGCTGTTTCTATTATTATTCCTTTCTCAATATTATATGGTTTTTAGAAGAGAGTAATATCTGAAAACGTCGTTCTAGTGATAGAACATAAAATAGGAAAAAAGTTTCCTTAAACATACAGGGTGTCTCGCATAAGAACCGACATAGGGCACGTGCATGTAGGGGCGTCCAAAATATTTATTTAGAAATTACAGTATCCAACGGGACAAAGTCCCCAATTACAGGATAAGGTAAAACAGAAAACCTTAACTAAATTTTAAAAGAAAAAGACAAACTAACATTAAATACAAAAATATAAATACTACATAACGTAAAGCAATCAAAATATAAAATCCAGACAAAGAACTTAAGGATAAACAATAACAGACAAATAAAACGAATAAGCTAACTAACATGTACAAGATAAGAATTACATATGCTAGACAAACGATTTTTTTATGTCATTCATTCATTCAATATTCACAAGAACCAAATTTAGTACATGATTTAGGTTCATTACTGGTCTTCTTTGACTATGATTTAAAGTTAATTGAAGCAGTACAAGATGTTCATTGGGGATGACTCACCCCTAAAATTGTACCGAACTTTTTTTTCATTGACCAAATTGAAAAATAATAATATTAATTCACAGCCGAATTTAATTTTAAAAATTTTTTTACTCTTGTTAAATTTTAAAAAAACTTTATGATTTTCAAGAAAAACTGTACTAACTGAAACAAAATTTTAACAGTGTTTATTAGAAAATAATCGAAAAGTCACTAGTAGGCAATGAATTTATCTTTCAAACTTGTCAGTTAGTAATAGAATTATTTTATTTCAACAATTGCCTCTGATTATTGTTGAAAAATATTAATTATTATTTTTATTATTTATTTGTGTTTTTTACTTAATAGGTACAATATTCGCTTATTTAAAAATTCCTTCTTTTTCCATCGATCACCTTGTCAAAATTTCTAACATTTTTCAGATTTTCCAATATAACATATGACTTTATAAAAGTGTACTTAATGTACATTCTAACTTTTTTATGATATATTGGTGCATTTTTCAATCTATTTTGTTCATAAATTAAATTTTTTGCATTATTTTGACACATTGATTTATTACATTTAACGATTTTGTCTTATGCTATAAACTTATTCTATATCTAAATTTTATCATTCAATTTCATATTCTCAGTATTCCACATCCCTGTTGTATCGGCTTTCTCTATTTATTTTATATGAAATATATCTCAAAAATTTTATTATCGTTGCAAATCAAAATATCATAACACTATATTCATTTTCAGAAGTGCTTCCACATAATCTTATACCTGACCTTATATCCGAATCTCTCCAAAGCACCCTGTATAATTAATAGAAAAAAAATTTTGTTTGTTTTTACCTAAACAATTGAAATTGTTTTGTGGCTGTCAATATTGTGGAGCACACATGATGTTTTTCTTGTCTAAAACAGCTGTGTAAAATGTTAATAAAAACGAACTATTTTTACAAAATTTAAACAGTGCTCATAGTTTACCATTAATGATAAATTTTACCTTTAATAATTTTTAAAGGACTGTATACTGACGCCTGTGCTATAATATTGACAAAACAGTAAAACATAACAATTTGTTACTTTAGATTAAGCTTATTTATGTTATCGCGCACATAAAGTGCGAAAAGGTAATAAAGCTATAAAACAGGAAATCAGTGCAATAACAAATTTAATTGATTGTTATCAATATTTCGAATTAGGATTTAGTGTGTCTCGTTTTAATAACAATGATAACGTTAATTATAAATAAATTTTATTATATGCATTTACTTTATTCAAAGTCGCAGTATAAAGTAAATAAAATACTTCTTCGCTTTACTTTTGATATAAATAATTATGTTAAGGGCGAGTACGGAATAGCGACTTGGATTGGTATACATGTCGTTGATATGAAAAATCGAACAACGCCGATCGCGGTTAGTACTTGTAGTCCAAGAATTCGAGTTTGCCTATTCCAAAAATACCTTTGCTAAATTGAGGGGAACAACAAACATGCAAAAAAGAAAACGAAAAATAACCCGCTTTTCGACATATTTTTCCTGTAACATTGAAACTAAGCCCTAAATAAAAAAAAGCATTCTTAATTTTTTGCTAATTTGATGATTTTCTATAAAGCTACAAAAACTGTGAATGAAAAAGTTGAATTTTGCATTAAAACAATGGACGAAAAATAGTAGAAAATCATGTGTACATTTGAAGCAAGTTTTGTGCAAAACATTTTTTTGACAGTAGCGTAACCTTTCTGGAACCTATTCAAAGCGGATACTAAGTTAGTATTAACCAATTTCTACTTATGGCTTATGGCAGGACACATATGTACCCACAACATTTTTAATATTGTTTAAAGGCCATTTTTGTTGAGCATACATTTCATTTTTCATTTGATATGAAAGAGGCATGCTTATTATTTCATGAAAAATTAAAACAAAACCATGAGTTTATAACTCTAAAAGTAATAAACTAATTGGGAGCAACTTGCACAGCCACTGCGACAAATCACGAGCCCTTAATGACTAATTACAGTAAAATAATCTAGTAATAGAGCTGACAGATGTAAAACTGAGTTGATTGTGATTCAGTATTTTTTGCACTTATTGCTTTCCCTCGTATATTTCCCCACCTACAATTTTATTATTCATTAATACTTCGTATCCACGATTCGTCTTGATCAATTTTAATCTGTTTCATAAACTGCAATAAATTTTACTGTTTCCAATTAATTATCAATTCTCATTTGGCCGAGTGACACAGTGGAGGAAGAAACATGTGGAAGAAAGTGATGGTTTTAGCAATTTTGTGCGGATATGGAGGTTTGGTATGTTGGTATTGAATATTTTTCCCATATAAAATGATTTTAAATTGAAGAATTATAAGATACAAATGCAATTGATATTTTTTTCATATTTTCATATTAATTATATCTAATTATATGGAAAACATGTAAAAGTACACGTAGATATTATTGTATTTCTACATCCTGCATTTGTTCTTATAATTAATGGTTTAATTAGTATATAATTTGGACGATTTTTAGGCGCAAAAGATCAAAATTTCTGTCTATTACGAAACGCTATGTCCATACAGCGTAAGATTTCTAGTCGACCAGTTTAACCCAGCCTACCAGAATCTTACAGACAACATGGAAGTCGACTTAATACCTTACGGCAAAGCTACGGTGAGTTTTTCACATTCGTTGGCGACTGCTGGTTCCGTTAATTCGCATTTAAAGATAAGAAATCGCACATTTAGCAAGTCAATCATAGAACAAGACAATCCATCCGAGAAGTGACGAAGCATAACGCTAAACTAGAGCAACTTCCTTTAATTTTTCGTATTATAGATCACGGAGAACATGTAAACATCAGAAAATGTACCTTTCCTGTTTTGTCCTGCAAATTTGTAAAGATACTCAATAATCGTGATTTATGTTAATGTGTTAATAGTTTACTAAAAGCATTCTACGGAGTGTGATTATGTTTATAGTAACGTATTTTGTTTAGGACAGTAATTTTATTTTCTTCATGTTAGCAATTAAATTTCGCTAAAATTGAAAATTATTAAAACAATAAGATTAGGTACTTTAAAACACAACGTTCTGTTTCACCGCCCGTGATTGGTATAATTTTTCACGAGTTCTATTCAACCAATCGAGCGTAGGAGTAACGGTTTGTTAATGTTCATTGTAAACGAATCATCAATGTTGGTGATGTCAAGATTAAGGAATATTTCGTTACTAGTACCAGTCGCGCAATGTTGGTTGTAAACATTTATGAAGGCATTACATTATTAAGCGATAATCGTTAATGTTAAATGTTGATACATTAAGTTGGACAATTTTAGGATGGTTGCTATGTTGTCGTTCAGATTTCTTGATTGAGTTTTCCTGATGAGTTGATCTCGAATTCCTGATAGTTATAGGCCCCAGAAACGTCGAAAAGTCGAAATTATTAATTATTCTTAAATTGTTAATGTTGTCATTGTTTTACGTCAGTCTAATTATTTAATAAGTAATAAATCAATAATCGGGATTATACTTATGCTATATCAACAATATTTTATGATAACTATGGTTATTGTTCATTTTCAATGGTTGTGCAATAAATGATATTTGATTGCAAAGAGTATATCTTTATTGCACCAGTGCAATTAAAATGTATAACACCATAAGTTGATAGTACATGTTGACTTGCAATTATTGACAACTTTTTATTAAATAATTAATAACATATATTTTGTAACAATATGAACTCTGCTTCTTATGAAAACGTTTATGGTTATCTTGAAAATTAACAAACTGGTGTGCCCGTATATAAAAAATACTCGATCCTACAAATATAAAAAATTAATAACAATTATTAGCAATACAAAAACATATTACGTATAAGTATTTTTGACTGTTTTCTTTCATGTTAGTTTTTTGATTGGAATTGATATACCTAATAAATATATGCAAACGTGAAGATACATAGAGACATTTTGAAATTAGGATAGCTGTGGAAATAGAGTATTTGGGAAAATATTATTTTTACTTTATTTAGAAATGGTGTTTAGATTCGTTCGGTCGAAAATAAAAAAGAGTGGACTCTTGTTGTAAGTAGTCTAATGACAAATTCTTGCCACTTATAGCTTTATTGTAACTTTAAAAAAATACTCTGAGGCCTATTTCACCTGAACCCTGTTGTTTTAATAAAAGTATATAAAGGGTCATGATTAATCTTTGAAATACTTAAATTTTTACTAAATGCCCGGATAAAATCTACTTGATGATGAAGGTAATTTATGCTAACTTTTCTAAAATAACTTGATATAAATGTAGTTTATGTTTCCACAAGTTACTTGCTATCGTTTTTCTATAACCCTAAATTTATAATTAATTTTTAGGCAAGCAATGAAACAGGTTCTTGGGAATTCAGCTGTCAGCATGGTGAACTTGAATGCTATGGGAATAAAGTACATTCCTGTGCCGTAGGGTTGTACCCTGTTAGTCAAAGTACAAATTTTATAATATGTTCGATGAATTCCTCGGACGCATCTTTGGACGCCAACAACGAAGCTGTAAGGTTACATTTATATCGATTTTTAAGTGTATATGGTTTAAATAATATATAGTGCATAGCAAAACAAATAGGAATTGTTAATTTTTCTGTTAAAAGTTAGTGTAATTCTGTTACACGTTAAACTAAACGAAATATATATAGTTTTTCTTTACTAAATTCAACAAAATTACTTAGTGAATAAAACCACAACGAAAGTTTAAATATAAATTTTCAAATGTACAGTAATTCTTGTAAACATACTTACCTACTACTATTTCTTCCAATAAGACGTTTGTTTATTCTAATTATGAACAAGAACTAGGATGAACACAAATCAGTATGCCGCTTGCCGGTATCTTGATATACAAACAAGAAAAATGACATCTGAGTTGTGATATATCACTTATGAATGAAAATTGCCATTAGATTTTTTTCTTTGGGGTTTATTGAAACAAAAAGTTTATAAATCCATGACACAAATTGTACACATACTACGTGCTAGCAAGCCTGTGCAGAAATTACCCCTAATTTACAAACAAAAAATAACAAAAAGCAATTACGAACATAGGTAAGATAGATATGAAATAAATAGTTGGATTGATAAAAGTGATAAGAATATAATTATTTAAATTTTGTTGGTTTCAGTTTCATTATTTTATTTTGTCAAAACTAAAATTATTAATAATTATTATAATACCACATTACTAGAGTTTACTTAAAAAAATTTTATGGTTTATGTTTTGCTTCATGGACAACTTGAAATCAACAATAAATTAATGACAATAAGTAAAGACTTGTGAATTTTTTATTTGGCTGCACAATCGTTATATTTAAAATTTTTTGATAAAATTTGGTATTGGCCCGTTTTGGGGGTCGTGAATCAAGCGGCTTAAATATATTTTTTCACAAAAAATCCCTAATATGGACATTACTTACGAACACATTTCTTCACAAAGTACACTTCACCAAGCTTTACATTAAAAAAAAATCCGGTTAAAATCGAACAATAAATAAAAAAATGGGTCACACTGTAGATAGATGTGAATAGTATATACTGAAATAAAAGCTGTTTTTGAAACAAACAAGCAGATTTAAATTATCTTAGATCAAGGACAAATTTTCTTTCAATTTTAGTGTGCCACATCTACCAACATCTCATGGACAGTAATTCAAGAATGCCTCAGTAGCGACCAGGGTGACGAATTTCTAGCAGCAAACGGCAGACGTACGGACAAATTGATACCAAACGTCGTCAATTCTATACCCACCGTAGTCTTGAACGACGTCTTCAGTGCAGAACTTCGAAGGATATCAATTGCATACTTCCAAGATACGTTGGTGTTTATTTTGGAGCAAGTCCAGTGCGGGTTCTGCCAGTTTAGTGGGTCGAATTTGGTTTCAGGTTCTGGCAAATTTGTTGTTGGTGTCACTTTATTGTTAGCGTTATATCAAAAACTGTTTGCCTTAATATAACAGCAGGTAAACTGAAACTTCTAAAATATTAGTTTATTTACCAAAAATATAATGCTGTTTTATTAGTGTTCCTGTCCACGACGAAGTCAAAGGTTTTATGTCTGTCGTCATTATTTTAAAAATACTCGACAATAATTAGCTACTTAATAATAAAACAAATATAAATGCATCTGTCTTGAGCCCCTTATCATGTAACATCGTCAGAGTGTTTATGTTTATTAATAAATTATTTGACACTCTAATCATGAAATGATGTTATCTCTTTTTTTCGTAAATATAAACGCAGTATGTTGACATTGATGATAGTCAATTAAGTAAGGACCATATACAGTACGGTGTTCCAAAGGGAACAATCCTTGATCCCCTTCCATTTAGTATTTATACTTTTAGTTTGACTAGTTGACATTTATATGCGAATGATACACAATTACATCCGTTTTCTCTAATTAATTTACTTATAGCAAAAGATATTATTTAACCAAAATTTAAGATACATTTGTTTAAATGTATTTTCTGAGTGTCACAAAATGTCTAGTATTATGATATTTGTAAGACGGTGACAACATTTCTAACATTAAGGCGATGTTTCGCATTGTATTAGCTATGTCCTCTCCAAATTTGGTTTAGTGCAACTCTCTCGGTTTCGAGAATACAATACCTATGTATGTTTTCAGCCACGATAATTGAATAATTACAAATATTTCGAGATTTCACCCCCAAGAACGATGGTGACAACATTTTTAACATTAAGGCGATGTTTCGCATTGTGTTAGCTATGTCCTCTCCAAATTTGGTTTAGTGCAACTCACTTGGTTTCGAGAATACAATACCTATGTATGTTTTCAGCCACGAAAATTGAATAATTCCAAATATTTCGAATTTTCGCCCCAAGAACGACGGTCAGTGTCTGATATAGGCTGGTGTAGGCTGCAGCCTACAGGCCCCCATCAACTAGGGGAGCCCACCAAATTAACAAAAAATTTTTTATGAAAACTAATTTTTTTTAAGATTTTTTTAAGACTGTTGTAAATTTCATATTATTCAGCAGGTTTTCTTTAAAGATTTCCGAGTTTTTCACAGGTACTGGGTGTTTATGCGGTTTTAGCGAAATCTTTAATTTGAGAGCGCTCTTTTGCACTTAGGGATACGTGTCTTTGCTTTTCTGCCACTTGTCGTTTTTTTTTCTTTCTCTAACACGTGGTATTTTTATGAATATAATTTAGATTTACGAAGTAACAAAAATAAGCTTAATACTAATTAAGATTGGTAATAATTAAATATAAAATATAAAAAAAAAAAATAAACAATTATAAATTAAATTTATAAACAAAGACCTTCCCATCATGAACAAGACACTACAGACATTATAGAATAATTTGCTACAATAAAAGCTAGAAAAGTTGTTATTTAATCGTATCAATAATCAATAAAGTATTATACTATGATATCTTAATTGTAGCATGAAGATTGCACGTTATTCTTTATTAAGTTTTTTAAATTTATTTATCATGTGGGTAGCAAAATTAAAGCTTTTTTGAACCTTGCGTCCCTCTGGGAAACTGGTTTTAAAATAACGTGTTTATGTTAATAGTGTTTTTTTTTTATTTTACCAGTAATAATTTTTTTTAAGCCAATTACGACTCCCACAATTTACTATTTAAAACAACTTACCCCAAGGGTAAGTGGCTTTTAATTCTTTATTTCTAGTTATACATCTTGTGTCCCTAGGGAAAGTGGGTTAAAATTTACTTTTATTTAATTCAAATTTTTTGTGGGGGGGGCTACCAAAAAGGATTTTTTTTTTCTAGAATAGGCCCCCACCAATTTTCAGCCTACAGGCCCCCACCACTGTAAATCAGGCACTGGTTTAGCGTTGCGACAGAAACCAAGATATTTTCAATGTATGTAATAATAAAACAACACAGACAACATTGAAATCCGAAAGTTTAGCAAAACAAAATAAAAACACATGATATTTATAGACTTATTTACTCTACAGCTGATTTGATTACACGTCTCTCAGGGTCTGTCCGTAGTGAATAAAATATTAATTTGTGGCAGTCCTTTTGGTGACCATAGCTTCTTCACAAAACAGCAAAATTTTTGATCGGCTGGCCAATGTCCAAGTTAAAATCGGAACAGCCTAAAAAAATTTATGAAACTCACTGTGGTGTCGTTTTTGGCATCAGACTTTGTACACAACCAAATTAATCCCAAATATATTGCTTGCGTGGCAATAACCTACGACGTCGGCCGACTATACACAGTGATACATCAAATCTTGAAACAATTGAAATTTGCCTTGATACGCTTGAAATATTAAAAAATCAGATTGCCATTAAAACGAACAACATAAGTAGCTATACTATTTGTGTCAATGATAAAAGCTTAAACAAGAATTTTGAGAGTTCACAATGTTTGCCCAAAATGTGAGATTCCACTTGTGTGAACACTATGGACACAAAAAAGTTAATCAANCTAATTACATCGTATTACCCCAAGGGTAAGTGGCTTTTAATTCTTCATTTCCAGTTATACATCTTGTGTCCCTAGGAAAAGTGGGTTAAAATTACTTTTATTTAATTCAAATTTTTTTTTGGGAGGGGGGCCTGCCAAAAAGGATATTTTTTTTTCTAGAATAGTCCCTCACCAATTTTCAGCCTACAGGCCCCCACCACTGTAAATCAGGCACTGTTTGTAAGTGTGGGCAAGAGTTCAAATTAAAATTTTCATTCTCAATGGAAAACACAAAATACAAGGGATTTTGGATTTACTTTGTTTCTATTTATTATTTTTGTTGAAGATATGAAATGAACTAAATTGCAATATTTTATGCCCACAGTGATACACAACAGCACAGTTTCAATAATTGAGCTTTTTGCATTAAAATGGGGAGGTTATTTCGAATGTTTTCGATCAATCATAATATTTTATATTACTACAATATACATTTATTTTTTATGCAACCAGTAATTCTTCTTAGTGAAATATGGATTGCACAGCTTTAGACGCAATTGATATTTAAAAACATCGTTCATCAAAATCAGTCACTCTGACACTAGGTGTGTTGAATTACATAAACATTGCATGACTTTTTCATTGAACTCAAAATAAGAATGTTTTAAAATTGGTGTATTGAATATATTTAAAACGTGTAGAAGTAAACAAGTGAATGCATGGCAATGCAGCATGGTTTTCGTAAGAGTAAAAGTGTCGACACGGTGCTATTTTCTTTTATCAGTGAAATAATTGACTCCATCGATAAAAAGTCACTGGCCTGAGGGTTGTACCATGATCTGAGTAAAACTTTCGATTGTGTTAATCACCAAATTTTGTTGGATAAATTATTTAGATGTGGTATCCGCGGTAATGTACATAATTGGTTTCAGTCACATCTTGACCATCGATATCAAACAGTCTCTCTCTATCCATTCGAATAATCGTGTTGCCCGGTCTGAGAGTTCATTAATAACGATGGGTGTTCCTCAAGGGTCAATCCTTGGTCCACAATTATTTCTTTTATATGCCAATGATTTACATAAAGCAATAAAAAATTGTCCTAGTTTGCTGGTTACTTACGCAGACGATGCTAATGTTCTTTACAAATCGACCAATATTATGGATATTGAAGTGGCTGTTGATTTAATATTTAAGAATCTAGCACTGTGGTTAGAGAAAAATAAACTTATGTTAAATGTAGAAAAGAACAAGATAATGCTTTTCAGATCAAAACTTTGTAATATATCCTTAGTTGACGGAATAACAATAGCGAATAATTATGTACAATTTTCTCAATCAGCAAGATTCCTCGGTATGTATCTTGATGACAAACTCGATTGGTCTCCTCAGATTAATTATCTGTGTCAAAAATTAACTTCATCTTGTTATGGCTTGAAATCCCTTTCCAAACAATGTAGCCAATATGTTTTGCTCTCATTATATTATGCAAGTTTTTATTCCCATTTACGTTACGGCATTATTCACTGGGGATTATGTGGATCTATTAAGAGGGTATTTGTTATACAGAAATATGCCGTTCGTATTCTCGCAAATTTAAGGTACACAGATTCTTGCAGAGAAGCTTTCAAAAATCTTAAAATTCTTACTGTTACCGGCGTTTATATATTGGAGGTGGTATGTTTTGTTTTTCGTCATTTAGACTTATTTACGAGAAACAACTTAAACCATTTATATTGCACGCGAAATAGGCATATTCTGTGTTCCGAACGGCATCATTCGGCGTTATATCAGAAAGGGGCTTACTTTAATGGTTGTCGCCTATACAACTCCTTATCAATCGATATTCGTAGTTCAAAGAATATATACACATTTAAAAAAAAAGTTAGAGAATATCTAGTTGCTATCTGCCCCTACAATTTAGAGGAATATTTACTGAATAATGCTGTACAATAATTTATTAATGTATTATTTTAGTTTTCTTTTTTTCTCCATCTTTCCATTCTATCGATTTTTTTCCATTTTTTCTCCATCCAGGATTTTGTATTTGTATATGTATTGTAGTGTATTGATGTTTTTTATATTTAACTTTGACCTGTGTGTTTTTTTTNTATTATTATTATTATTAATGTTGACATAGATATACATTTCACTTTTCTCTTTTACAAGACAAAATGTCAATTTATGGACTAGAATAATTTACAGGACGTTGTGATTTGGATGTACCAGGGCCTGTTACAAATACAATTTTGTAAAGAAAAAATCAAAAAGAACAGTTCGAAAATGATTTTTTAATTCATTTTCGAACACTTCTACACGGCACTAGAAACTGGTCCACTGTAAATTCTGATCTCGCACAATGCGACCGGCATGGCGGTGTGATAAAAAACGGACAAGGAAAGAATTAAATAGAACGCAAACCATTTTTGACACTAACTACTAAAAAACTATTGTAAACGCCACAGATAACAGGTAAACACTATCGCAACGACGATTGCAAAATCGTATTTCAGTATTCGGAGTCGCTGAGGCCACGTGGCTCTCCACGCGTATTGCGAATGACGCTAGAGATTACAGTTCTCCAGCTATGTAGTGGTTGCATGTACTATAACTTCAATAATTTTTTTCTCGGAAACTATAAGGATTTTACAAAAATTTTTTTACGATATTGACTCCATTTATCATGTCGCATATATTCCTAAATTTTTTTGGATAAGTTGTGAATCACTCTGTATAGTGATGTGAATCTTGTGTCTATTTGTCTGCTGTTTTCAGTACGAGATATTTTGTTAGGCAAAACTGTTTTCACAAAAATAATAAAAACAACCTTCGATTGACCTTTTGGCACAAGGGTTTCTTTATTAAATTTTTAAAATAAAGACAAAAAAATACAAATAAGTAACTTCAGATAATATCTCGTATTTGTCTATCTCTGGGTAGTTTCTGAATTTTCCACTTGAAACGTTTGTGTCAACCTTTTTCTTATTTTATCTAAAGACTGGAGTGTATTTTGGAATAAGTTATCCATGAAAAAATAGTCCCTACCAAAGGGAAGTGTCCTATCAAAAATGTTTGTAGAGCGAAAGTTGATTATTTTCTTCGGTAGAATACGCCATTAAAGTTTGGCAAAACTTATCACTAACACCCTGTATGTAAAAACGTATGGGTAAATGTCTCGATAAATTACATCTTTGTAATATGTTAAATTAATTAAAAGTATTGACAGAAATATTGTGAAATAACTATACAAATTTTGCAATCAAACGTAACGTTTTGTAATTTAAATTAATGAAACTTAACGCTCTAACTTATATGTAAGGATTACGAAGTTATACTGCGGTATTCCCAGAGATTCATATAAAGTGACGTCACGAACTGGCCCTAATCTGACCTCACGTCGTCTTGGAAAATAATCCAATGAACCGACGGGGCCCTCTTTATAAAAGTTAACAGATATAAATTAAAACCAGTAGCCGTTAAACACGAACGAGATACAGACGCGTTAACTCCTTCGAACTGAGTGTTGTGATGTGAGTCAGACACTATGAATATGTTTTCTAGAAACACATTGGTCGCTTCGGTCGGTTTTGTTCTTGTGTTATTTTCTGCAGCCGAAGATGTGAAGGTGTTAAAGAAACACACTTACTACAACACCTCCCTAGATGAAGTGGTTTTAATGACAGTGAACCTTCAGGAAATTGAGTTGGAAGCATTTAAAGACATCTCTGTATATTTCATACAGATTTATGACAATCCCTTGGAAAAACTGAGAAAGGGTATTTTCGTCAACGTTTCAATTCATGAGATGATGTTCTTTGGTAACAACATAACTACAATCGAACCTGGTACTTTTCACGGCTTGCATCCCTTGGAAGAGCGCGGAATCCTGTTGTTGTCCTTGTCCAACAACAAACTGGGAAATATAAAAAAAGGGATTTTCAACAATACCAAGTTTAGGAAACTTGATCTTTCCACTAACAGAATCAAGTTTATAGAGCCAGATTCTTTCGACGGTATGGTCGATTTGTTTCAGTTGGACTTGAGCGTTAACTTTCTGGAGAAGATTGACGTGGGAGTTTTCCAAAATTTAGCAACCCCTACCGGGTGGGTGCAGTTGTCTCTTGCTAGAAATAAGATCAAATTTATCGATCCTTACGCTTTTGAGAATACAACGCTTTATACTGTCGATTTACAGAACAACCAGTTGGGATCATTGACTTCACACTACTTTAAAAGAACTAGCATAGGTAATTTTGATGTATAAATCTATAGAGTACAATGCTAATAGACTGAAAAATGGTAGCCTCTTTTTCTTATTTAATCCAAGTAAATGTAAACCAAACTAAATACTTATTTATGTAGTAATTGTTATTTTTAATAAAAATGGAAATTCAAACTGTTTTATATTTAATTACTTACCTGTAGTTGTATATAAATCCCACACACCTGAAATGAAGAATTAAAAAATAAATATTTACTATGCAGTCTGTTTGATTATAAAGGCCCTAGTTAGTCATTTTTGTGCATCCTGTAAAGTATACATATTTTTAAATGGGATGTTATTTTCTTCGTCACACTATAGATGAGTGATGTCATAGATATTTGTTAAATAGAATTGTAAACATTTTTTTGCGTGTTTTGATAGATTTTTTTATCCTTTTCCCAACCATATGAAACTAACGAAATTTTTGAGAAAAAATTAGAAAACTTTCAGCTTTTGACTTGTTTTGACTAGTTTGTTTACGGTGCTCGCTTTCTAAATCATATTATCAAATAGAAACCGCTGGAAAAAGAATTTTGCACACTGCTATCTATCATATATCGGGTTGCAATTGCTGATTAATTCGTTGATATACTACAGGTTTATGAACGTAGAAAAAATAGTGTACATTTATATCGACAACGTTATCCTAATAAAATTTTTCCTAACAGAAGAAAGTTTAGTAAACTTTAAGATAGTTAAGGTATAGGAAAAATATGTATGTAACAATAACTTAGTGATTAATAAACAAGAAATTGTACAATACAGTAATAAATGCAAACGAAAAATGTAAAATGAATAGCGAGATTTACTGTTTTGGAGACTGCGTTCCTGTGTTCTTGTTGTCTTCTCATAATTTGCATTTGCCGTTCTTTCAAACCTCTCCTTCAGTTTTACAAAACACTTTGTACGAGGATATCTTTGTAAATCTGGATTATTAGCTTGGTAAATACGACTTGCCAATAAACAGTTACCATGGGCTTCTCTTCTTCTATTAAACCTTATGTGAATCGAAAATTATCCAGATTAACCTTTGACAGGAGCCTACTACGTCATTTTACATATAAGCTATTTGTAAACTTCGCATTTTTTCATAGAAATGAGATTTCATGAAAAACTAATGAATTTTGGAATAGGAGCAGGTATAGCAAAGTTGTAGAGAATTTAATTCTGCATCTCATGGTATGAAAATATACAGGGCGTTGCATTTAAAAAAATCGAGATTTTTCAATTTTTCAATTGGCAATTTTGACATGATATTTTGGTCACCCTGTATAACGCAGGCCAGTTTTTGGAGCATGATTCGGAAGAGTCATCCTTACTAAACATCTGATAAAAAAATGGGCTTAGTAGCTATTAGTATAACCTGTCAGTATCAGAAAATGTAAGCAACCAATATCGACTAGAAAAACCTTTCAAGCGAGATATCTCAAAAACTGTGAATATTTGAGTAGAACTATTCAACACAAAGTACCCTTTATTTTTTATGTAAAATCCGAAAAAAATATAAAAAATGTGTTTCCATTTAAAAAACCAAAGTTGGTGTCTGTCCAGGAAAAGTGGAACATCCTGTATAGTTGAATATATTTTTAATTTGTACATTCCGAGAAATGTGGCAACACAGTAAAAAGAAAAATCCATATATTTCTCATTTTAACATAGATATTGGACTTTTCCGCACTAGTGGGACACGCTGTATATATGTTTTAAGGAACTCGTAGTTTTGAAACAAATATGTTTGCAGTTTATGTTGAACTGTAAGAGAAATTGTAGCTAAAGTCCGAGATGATAAATTTCAAAACTATAAAAGATTTGAATTAAATTATATATATTTACAAATAATATTAATTCTAATAAAAATTATACACTACAGCAAATATTTCAAATAGTTTGACGAAAGTATATACATTTGAATAGAATAAAATAACATTTACGGCAAATTAATCCATTTAAAACTATGTGCTCATTTGATCCTAATACTTTTTTTTAGGTGCAGATGATATTTAGCTATTACATGAACTCTAAAAAATTACTATCCCCATTTTGTACACAAAAAATGTATTATTTTATCGCAATAAAATTTAATAATAATATTGTTGTATTGAATATTTAAATTAATATAACACAGGGGTGTTTATAGTAAAAATATTTACGAAAGTTTTTTACTAAATGGTACTTGAATTTTGAATTGCATCTTAAAATTTCGAGAAATGATAGTCGTGCACATTTTTCTCAGTCAAAACAGATTCCTTAAATTCCGAAAACATGTAGGAATTCATATTTTAACTTTATAATTTCAAAAAAAGTGCTTGTATTCTGAGTTTTATCCTGAAATTCGGAAAAGAGATTCTTCAGAAATTTTTCTTGGGAAAAATTGATTCTTGAAATTCCGAAAACTTAAATCGATATCAATATTTTAATTTAATAATTCTAAAAAACAATTCTGAATTTGATCCTGAAATACCAAGAAAGATTGTGCTTTAGACATTTTTCTTGTATAAATTCTTTCTTATATATGTCGGAATTCATATTTTAATATATTTCCAAAATATGTGATTAAACTAAGACTGAAACACTGAGAAAAGGTTATTTTGATATTTTTATCGACAAAAATTGATGTTTCTGATATGAATGCAGGAATTCCGCATTTTCTTTTGAATTTCAATCAGTTTATTTTACCACGATGTCTTGTTTTCAATTAATTTTTTTATAGAAGTTTTCAAAAACTATTGGGATACTTCTCAGCTTGATATGCGCAGTTATTGTTAAAACTGTGGCGTTACTTTTACTCCTGTATTCAGATTAGCTGGCTTTAGACACCCAAAAAGACGTTTTAAAGTTTGTTTCTGGTTGTGGATAACTCTACAGGACAAAATTGCGATGAATAAATTTGCTCGAAAAACCGGAACACTATAAATACAATATCTTTTTATTTTAAACAACACAAATAAAACTGTGCCGCAAATCAATAACTTCAGATGAAATATTTAATAGTTTATTGAATACAGCGTGATAACATTGAGCACAACAAATCATGTTAACAACAAGTAAAGAGAAAATTCAACAGTATTTTATACTTAAATTAGTTAAAATTGAATTAGATCCAACGTTTTCTGCCTTGGGCATTCGGTTAAAACAATTACTTGACTGACTAACAGTTTTAATTCTTAATTGGACAAACGTAGTTAATTTAATTATAATGAAGTTGCAGCAATAACAAGGAACCAGCTAAATCTAATTTAGCCCAGAAGTTTTTATAATTTGAAACTTAAAATCCAACTAAAAGCTTAAAATATTTCATGTGGAAACTGGTGTTTATATATTTTATATAGAGAAAATTGCCTAGGTATTGGTTATAAAGTTCTTTCCTTTGATTATGGTTGCTTTAGGTTGCCCGTTGTCGCAAATGCAAATAGTTTTTCTCGAAAATTTCCTTCCCTTGAGATACTTCGTGCAATTTTTATTCTCTCAGAGATACATCAAGTGTAGTGGAAGACTAGTGGTCTTGCTTAGCAAATAAAGTTTAATCCGCAGGGAGTGTTGCGCTAATCCTGGTGATCCTTAAAGTAGTTTACATGATGGGGACGTTGGAGACGGGTACTTGGAAGATTTTGCTCAGGGGGATTTCGCTAAGTTGTTGGTCCACAGGCACCCTGGTGTCGTACAAGGACGGTGCCTGGAAAATGATCCCGCAGGTGCCTCCGATGCAGGCGAGAGTAAATATCCAGAGGAAGAAGCGGTCCAAGACCATGGAGACAAATTTCCAATCTTCCACGATCTAATATAAATTTATTATTATTACTAAAATTAAATTTGCCACCTAATCAAATTGAAGTCGAGCATAATCGTACTTTGATGTTGCCAATAATTTATACAAAAAGCAACCTATTATTTGTCACCCATGGATTCATTGTGTTATACAGAGTGTCTGCGAAAGGTTGGGAAATCTGGAGACCAAAATAAGTCGATAGAGGCAACCAAATATACCTTATCCAGATGTTGTTGGTTTCAAAGATAGGGCGTTCAATGTTTTTTTCTACCATAGCCAGGAAATAAAAAATAATAAGTATTCAAATGATTTAATCGATTTTTACTTTCCCTTTAAGTCGTTTGTTAATAAACTGCAAACAATTTGGTTCCTACTCCAGTTTTCAAGTCGCATTATACACCAGGAAAATTAGCGAAAATAAAAGAGAAACTCGAAAAAAGTCCTATCCGCGAGATTATTGTAAAATTTGCCTTAATATGTAAAAAAAAAATACTTTTTAAATGAACGATAGCTTCATTTATATATTTAATAATAGTAAAATAATTCCGAAATTGAAATTTTAATTAATATTTGGTTTAACAATAATTTTTGTAACATTTTTGTAAATTAAAAGAAAATAATTATAAAAGATTTTGTAAACATGCCCATTGTTGTTTTTTCGTCGAGCTATCCCAGTTTAATCTACGATGAATAGAAGCCGAGATATTGCAAAATTTACAGCGCGCATCAATTTGAACTTGCATCTATTTTCGGTGAGATAGCATAAATAGTAACAATGTTATTCAAATTGTTTATAAGCGAAAAACGCGAAATGTCAAAATAACGGTGATATTTTTTAATGGGTCGCTTAATTACGTCTTTAAGATTACAATGACGCTTTCAGAATAATGTTTGGTTGAAAATTAACGCCTATACAGAGGCTTAAAGTTCATAACTTTTGGAGCCTCCGTTATAAACAAATAGAATTGTGCGAAAACTATTGCACCCACAGCGCCCACTTTTGGTACACTTTTGAAGTATGACAAAACCCTCAACTTGTCATAGGTTTTATAAAATTTTAACAATAAATGCGATAGTTATAAACAAATTAAAAAATGGGCACTTTTCTTGTCTTTTTGCAATAACTTTTTTGTTTATTAACCGATTTTAATTTAACCAGTCTCATTTTGTAGATAATTTTACTCCCTATAAGCTGTCTGTGAGTCACTTTTCGCTAAAATTGATGGTTTTCCCTGCAAAGTGAAAAAACTGTGTTCCTCACTTATTTGTTTAAATAGAAAAGTTAGCTAATAAAAGTTTTTGACTCACGAGATTCCTTTAGACAATTTTACAATAATCTTGCGGATAGGACTTTCTTCGAGTAAAAATTTAATTTGCTTGGTCTATTAATCTAACTAAAGGATTAAAAAATATCGAAAACGAACACGAGTAACTTTTTTATGAGACGAAGAACGTTTGCGATACACAATGTCCGTAATTCTAAAAGCAAAAAGATTTTCCAATATTTATCAAGGGAATAAGGCATAACTAACGTCTTATTTGTCATGTCAAAAAACATAATAGTGAGAATTTTTTGTCCATACTCTAACGGTTTTCAAAAGTATTGAGACATTTCAAAATTAAATTCAAACATTGAACGGCTTAGTGCCCTGTATCTTTGAAACCAACAACAATTAATATATTTGGCTCAATCGACAGTATCCCAAGCTTCGAGATTTCCTAACATTTCGCAGACATCCTGTGTGGATTCATTAAGTTGAACGTAATTTATGCATTGAACGGGATTTTATGAAACATGTTTAATTTATTAGGGTAAGTTCGTTTGTATAAATTTTTAAAATTATTCATAAAGTAATTATAAAAGAATACATCCAACTTCTCGGGAAAAATTAAAATATAACGATTTGTAATTATAATTACTGTTATTTATTAATTTAAAATGAATTGTAAAATTAAAAGGATTCACCAGACTTTTACATATGAAGGGCACGTACAAATTAGATTGTCAACCTTCGATAGCTCAGTTGGTAGAGCGGTGGACTGTAGTGGAATCGCACAAGTAGATATCCATAGGTCGCTGGTTCAAATCCGGCTCGAAGGAAACTTTTTTATTTTTTCAAATGTATTTGTATTGTTTAATAATATAGTAATTTTAATTTACAATAGTAATTTCTTATAAAAAACTAACACATCAACGATCAGAGTTAATAACATTTTCATATTTTTTAATTTCCTGGACACCGTATACGAAATGTTAATTTTCTCTATGGCAACCTCATTTTAAATTCAAGTAAACTTTTTTATCATCTGTGCTTTTTTCTGTAAAACGTAAAATAAAAAAGTTTTTCCTTTTAACCCCTCTAATCTGCGGTATTAATATATATAATAACTAAAAGTAAATTTTAGAATCACTTAAGAATTTTATTGCTCACCTCGTTATCCTTATCTGCATCTCGGATGTGCTGAGCGATAAATCTGACCCCTTGAAGAGCTGCCAGCACATTTGCGGAGAGATTTTTCGGTGTTATGTTCGATGAACCTGTCACTGAAACAGACATCAAAGTTGTCAAACTCAAAACTGTTTATTTTTACAAGTACAATCTTTAGTAGAAGATAGAAAAGTATGTAATATAAAATGGAATGCAATTTACTTCATTAAAATTACACACTTTTTATCATAACCTTTGTACTTTTATTTGTTTCAAAGATATTAAGCTAAATAGCCACGATAACTTGACAAACAAATATTCATAAAAAAATTAATATAAACTTATTAATACGAAGAAAATCATCGAACAAAATTATGACTACTTTGGATACCTGAGAGATGAGATATTGATAAAATAATTTTTCAGGATTTAGTACGAAGTCTTATGAGAATGCAGATTTTTTTGGTCTTTCTACTTAGAATGCGCAACAATTGACGAACAGTTTCCACAGCAACTTGTATAAATAGAAAACCGATATCTAAGGAACTGTATCGATTAGTAGAAATCGATTAGGTACATGTAAGATACATAATTTATAATTCACCTTCACACTGCTGTCGTTGACTAAATTATCCTCCATATGCATGATAGCGGCAACGCCGCGGTCTCGATGTAGCGTATTATTTGAAATTTGCAGGTGTCCAAGCAAACAGAATGATCGGACGAGAGCGAGCGAACGCCGAGGCGAGCGAGCCAGCCAATTGCAACGTTGACAAATCTAAAGTCTTACTAGTTTAGTCACTAGCGAATCTACAGAAACTCTCGTTAGACTCTAGATGTACCTCCGTACCCGATAAACCTTTTTAATTAAACAATTTCTGCATTTTTAAGATGGATTTTTCAAGTCACCTTTTTTGAATTGGAATTAACAAATATCAGAATATTAATACATACATTTATTAAATGATGAAGAGAATTAAATTCTCAAGGGATAATATTAGTGACAATGTGTCTACCTGTATATTATCGTGAACTATTATTTTTAACTATTCAATATTTATTCATTTTTCCTCTGTTTATTTTAGTGTTTTTCCTTTGGATAAGCATAACAACGACAACAACAACAACAACAACAACAACAACAACAACAACAACAACAACAACAACAACAACAACAAGAACAACAACAACAACCATAACAACAACAGCAACAACAACATAATTTTAATTGAACTACTATCAATTTTTGTCAAATTTGACAACATAAAAAATTTGAAAGCTTTGTTAATTGAAAATAAATTATTTATTTATTAAATAAGTAATTGCCACGGCACGTAATAGAGTTTTAAAGTTATATATTTAAAAAGAAAAACAAATCGGAGAATGAGAACAGTTTATAAACTTCTGAAATGGGTCACTTTCATTCGTTGATGATTTTACGAAAACTTAGCTAAAGTTTTATCTTTAACATAATAAATTATCTCTCTTTTCACCTTGCAACAAAAACGACTGCAACATTTTTTTACCTTCCACGTAGTAAACAGGCTAAATCAAATTTGCAACAATTTCTTTTTGTAGCATCTTCCAGCTTCATTATTACGTACGGACCTATGCAGTACTCTCCCTGAACTATTCAAGTTGCAATCACGTATTTACAGCGTTATGGATATTTTTAACGTTTACGTGCACACCTATAACTAGGGCCATAATAAGAGCGTAAACCTGTGAAACAGCACTAGAAACTTACTGGAAGAGTGCGCTTTCATTTTGCCGTCCTCTTGATCCGAGTTCTGCAGCACGAAACTGGGCTCTCTGGTCGTTATCTTGAAATCGGTCGTGAAGGGTTCTCCCATGTTTAATCTGGAATATAGTGCGTTTAAATATGGAACATCTTGTTATCGCGAACTTTTTTTACGACCCTCAGGGCAGAAAACTGGCAGGCTATAACTCAGATGAAGTGGTGTTTGCTTAGCGGTAAATAATATTTATTTGATTTTAAAATGAGTCCTTATGCCCTTGAAATGTTGGGATGACATTTATTTGATAGGGACTATTTTTTCATTGGATAACTTATTCCAAAATACACTCCAGTGGCGTAGTTATTGGGGGAGTAGGGGACCTTTTTTGAAAAAAATATAGGTACCTACAGTAGGATCGTATTCGATGCAAAGTAGAGCAAAAAGTTGTCGGTCTTTTATCAAAGGAAAATCGTGTAATCATTTTTAGGAGGCGTAAGATGAACCATTTCAAATTTAAAATGAAACTGAATGTTAAATCTGAAATACCGTTGCATACGCACTGTGTTCTGGTAGTAGCTGTAGTCGCCCAGGTGCATCGAGTGTACGAAGTGGTCGGTTATACGTCAAATACTAACCTGACGAGCTTGATCGTAAAACAGAGAGTGCCTCCAAAAAAACAAGTAAACAACAGTGGCGCGTACAGAGGTAAAATGTAGTACATATGTGGAAATTAAAAAACAAATTGGATTTATAATAAATTACATTTAAAATAAATAGTTTATGAGAATAAAGGATTTTTTGTAGGAATAAGGGTGCCAGACGTGAACTGATCCCTTCGTCCCTTTATAATGTATAAAGAAATTATTCAATTTCTAAAACCCTTAAAAGCGTATGGCACTGGATCCCTTGACAGGCAATGATTTATTACTTTGCATCGAATATGATCCTACTATACGTTGCTATTTGCCATTTTCTATTGATTGCTAAATGTGTAACAATAAATTCAATACTTAATATTTCAACACACTATACAATATCACAAGAAATGTTCAGTCCTTCATAATTTAAAATTATTTAAAAAACCAGTGGCGTACGATTTTTTTTTTTCAAAAAAGGTCTCCTACTCCTCCAATAACTACGCCACTGGAGTGTATTTTGGAATAAGTTATCCATGAGAAAATAGTCCCTACTAAAACAATGTCATCTCCCAAATTTTATCACTAAATATTCTTTGCCAGTGAAGTACAGGAAAAATCATATAAATATTTGAAACTTTTAACACCCTGTATTTCCGCAGGAAAGCGTCTTATCAAAAAATTTTATAGGGCAAAAGTTCATTATTTTCATCGATAAAATAGGCCATTTAAGATTGGCAAAACTTATCATTAACTGTACTTAAAATTTTACTCCTAGACTTACTCTAACTGTAAGAGAAATGAGTTTTTAATGCGGATATAAAATATTCTTGAAAAACAGGTTATTCTTCCTCGTATACAATTTTATAGATGTGCATGGACTCTAATTAAACTTAGTTTAATACCAATTTGTTTTTATTTAATATCGACTTAATTAATGTTTATTTGAACAGTAATTTTATCACCTTACTTTAAGTAATATCTTCATGTTCCAAGAATAATAATCTCTGCCCTAGATTTATTATTTTTGAACATACTCTTTGGAGACCTCTCCCGTCTCTTTTTGTCCTTATCGTGAAGCATTGCATAGTTTCTGTTTTGTCTTTGTCTATTGTGTTCTATTTTTTTCCAATTTCTCTTAACCGCGAAATACTTACTGGACATCTATCTCATTGGTGTATCCTCTAGGTGGCTGAGTATCGTCATATTCGGGTAGGGTATAGGTGGTTCGCCTCATGATCAACAGTTTAGGCATAAAATGCAAAAATATCTTCCGAAACAGCGGTGACATCTTGTGAGTTGACGGCGACCTGAAATAGATGCCGTGCGTGATATATTTTGTAGGGAATTAGGAGGAAAATATTGGAAATGAGAAAGTTATCAACAACACCTATAATTTGCAACCATTATTTTTATTACCATTACACAAACCCTACTTTTTCTTCAGGGTACTGCAAGTACTTAGCTTTCATTGCTTTTTGTGAATACAACAAAAAATTAATAAGACTTCCTTTCATAAATCGGAAACAAAGAGATAGTATCACTTTAATTCCCTGGGAGTTTCTTTCAAGTTCATTATTTTATATATTACCTAATTCCAATTGTGCGTGTCCAAATTTCTGAATGCTCCTTGTTTCGTCGTGGCATATAAATTATCCATTATAGTCTTATGGTCTCGATTTCAGCTGAATTAAGGAAGCAATCATATCCTAGTTATGTGGGATAACGATGTTTTAATACCCAACTAGTAAAGGTAGATACGGCCATTATTTTTTGAGGATTTACACGCGATTTGGGGCAATAACTGATTTTCTAAAACTGGAAACTTTATTAGAACTTGATTTGGTGGCTTTGATACCAGAAAACTAAGCTGTATAGAAAGGGATGGTAATACAGACCTCACTTGTTTTTATCAGTATCAATTCCTCATCAATTTCATTATACTTAGGTAAATACATATATTTTTTTTCAAAAGTTATCCATTTTTTAAATAGTGAATTTATTGCATCAAACTGTATGTCACCGTTTTAGAATAGTATTAGAGATTTCTGTTTTACATACTGTCAAAATTACCCAGAAAGAATGATATAAAAATAATAAATAATATATCGAAAAACCTCTTATTATATCGAAATATCTTTGAACACCTCTAAATACTTGTAAAAATTGCGGAAATCTTCAAATTCGTCGAAATACCTAGAAGCACCTCCAAACTTTCAAAATAACTTGAAACAGGTACATCGAAAACATCGAAATATCTCAAAAATTATGAATTTCAAAATGTCTGAGAATAAAGTTGCATCTCCATAGGCTTAAATTTTTGAATTATTTTCGAAATTCTTCAATTTATTTTTGTTTCAGTTTTTTTACAATTTCATTGTTTTATATCTCAAAATTTGTATTGTCATATTGCACCGAATTCGATTTGATTCTTTCCGTTATCAACTAGTACAACTTTTTTTGTATCTTCCTTTCATTTTTTTAAAATCTAATTAAGAAAAACCCTCTTCAAAGTAACCTGTATACAAGTGAGGAGACATTAGACATATTTCAGAGACTACTTCGATTTTAGTTTTCAAAATTTGGGCAATAGTGTTTTCGGGCATGCCCTTGTCAACTAAAATAAAGGCATCCATCTAACGCTTCCGGTTATACCGAAAATTTACGTCATCTTCGTTATTTTAAATGGAACACCCTGTATATTATTGCAATTTTCGATTCTACATCAATTTTTAGGTGAACTTTCATAAAGGTTTCCTATTCTTAAAGTTAACCATTTTTGACATTTTTAATTTTTTTCAAAAAAATAAAATAAAAAAGGGCTGCCTAATTAAAAAATATCTGTATTTTACAATAATAAAGTTAGAGCGATAAAATTAATAGGGGATATAACTAAAAATCTAAGCTTCCCTTCAATAATTTCAAAATGACTTAATTTCATACAGGGTGGTAGAAATTTAAAGCCGAATTTAGGCAACTTTAAATCATTTTAACTTATTATTTTTTTGATAGAACAAACACCCTGTATATTTTTGCGCAACCTGATGAACAGTTTTGTTCTCTTTCGAATGGTATAATGGTTCCCTAACCTATCTCTTCTGATTTTTAAGGTATTTACGGTTCTTTGTGCAATCAACGGATATTGCATAATTTCTTGCGAGGATGGATGTGAAATTTTTAGTGGAACTTCAAAACAAGCACCTAATCTGCCACTAATTTATTGTTGTCAATTTAACACATACAGTGAATGTTTATTTGGGTATTATTTATTGTTGAAGATTGGAAAACGTTAACATTTATTCAAATACTGACATTCTCAATTTATTATTTATTTATAAAGCTTCCCTATTCTTAAAGTGATATACAGGGTGTGCCATTTAACACTCCCGCTGCCAATATCACCGAAATGAAGAAATTTATTTTAGTTCTGGTAACTAGTATAGTTAAATTGAAAGACACAAACTGATAAAACTGTAATTATTGGAATACTGATATGTGTCATCTGGCATACATGTTTTGTTTTATTTTAAACAAATGACATGAGCCACCTATGACTGCATATTTTAATAACATTTGATAAAATAATGTTCGTCGCTGCCCCTTATAAGATTTACCATTGCACAATTATTTTTTCTGTAGTTGATCATTCGGTTTTTTATAATTTATTGGTTGTTTGTTAGTATGTGATGCGAATAAAGCCATTATAACAATATTTTAAAAGAATATTTTATCTCAGTGTGATTTAAATAAAATAATAGATTTTCCTGTTACATCATACATTGCATATTGAAGTCGAGATATCTCGAAAACAAGTAAATATAGGGAAAAACATTCTATTACAAAAATTACTCAAAATTTAACGATCTTTCAGATGGACTGTTCACTGTCCACGTTCCAGGGATCAAAAAATTTTTTAGTATCGCCACGCCATCTATCCAGAAAGATTTGAACTAACACAGTTCTAACTACAAGCTATTCGAGGAAGCTAACAATCCCTGTTTCCAAATAAGTATAATCTTTGTTTTGGAGATATTGACAGCGGGAGTGTTAAATGGCACACCCTGTATTTAATGTTTTTAAAAAATTGCAATAATATACAGGGTGCTCCATTTAAAATAACGAAGATGACGTCAACTTCCGGTATAACCGGAAGCGTTAGGTGGACGCCATTATTTTAGTTGAGAACACTATTGTCTAATATCTCGTCACCATGGGACACCCTGCATGGTGCCAGATAAGTTCTTTAATTCCAGTCACGATAACATTTTCTCGAACTCGGGCCTGGGGCAAGGATTAATCGTCCTTCCTGCGTACGCAGATGTCACCCCGACACAATCTCCCGCTAATGCCTGCCAGCTACACTTACCTGAAGTGAACGTTGAGCACGCACACTGTCACCCATATCGAGGATGTGACCAAAATCATAGTGAACAGCAGGTATTTTCCTAGCAGGGGCACCGCCAGGGAGGTGGGGGGGATGATCTCGGCGAGCAGCAGGAAGAACACCGTCAGGGAGAGCAGGATTGATACGCAGAGCGTCACCTTCTCGCCGGAATCCGAGGGCAGGTAGAAGACCAGCACCGTGAGGAACGTGATGCCCACGCAGGGGATGATCAGGTTGACGGTGTAGAAGAGCGTCTTGCGGCGCATTGTTATCTTGAACGTGATGTCTGGAAAATATCGGTGTGAGTTGCCGTTGAAATATCTTTGTCTTCGTAGTAGATTAAAAAAATTATTAATACAATTAAATTTTTTAGAGCCTCAGTCGGTTAAATTAATCAATTTGTCTTTATTACAGTTTAATAATAGAAACGTAATAAGAAAGCAATCGCCCTTTTTTTGTAGTGACGTCACATACACCAAATAATAGGCAACCTCATGGTGCGTGCACATTGTCATGAGGAATTTCTCAATATTTTTAATAGATTGATTTTCGATCCTATGTACTTTGGACATAAAAGTGCCAAAAAATGGCTTCTTTGTCATGACCTTAAATATCGCGATGTTCTGGCAATATTAGAAATATTTAAGAAGTTTCAAACCCCAAGTGACAAACTAAAAGAATTATAGAATTTATACAGGTTGTTAGTAAATAAGTGCGACAAATTTCAGGGGGTGATTCTACATGAGAAAATAATGACAGTTTGCTGATAAACGTATATCCGCAAATGATTCGTTTTTCGAGATACGGGGTGTCAAAGTTTTTCTTAAAAACTGACGATATAATTTATTGCTCTGAAACCGGTCGACATGTTCAAATTAAATTTGGTGGGTTTTAAGAGGTAGTTATTGCGCATTTTTTGACACGCAATTAAGAATCATTGACGCGCGTACAGGTAATAATCTCAATTTTTTTTAAAGAAAAAAATGGTACGCCACTGAGATATTACAAATCATTTTTGAATTCCTCGTTCAATTTGTGACAAAAAATCTCTCTTGCCTTTTCTTCGTATGGGGCGCCGTTTTGATGCAAAAAAATAAAACATCTTAACGCGTATTTTTTATTTCTTTAATACATTATCAAGAACTATCTAATACAATAACATTAAACCAGAACAATAACAGAAAATAACACTAATAAAATTTTGAAAAGGCGCAAAGCTACAACAAATGTTCAAAATGACCTCCCTCAGACGTGACACAAGATTCAACTCTTCGCCTCATTGATTGTCGTATTCGCGCAAATATTCCTGGTATATTTCTTATTGTCTCACAGCCGACTATAATTCGATTCCTCAGGTCATCAACATTTTCAACGGGAGTGGAATAAACTAATGACTTAAGAAAACCCCAAATGCAAAAATCAAGAGGATTTAAATCCGGCGATCGAGCAGGCCAATGTTCCGTACCTCCCCTACCTATCCAACGATTTGGATATACTGTGTCTAAGTGATTACGTACATTAATGCTAAAATGGGCTGGTGCACCATCATGCATGTACCATAGGTGTTGTCTCAGCTGTAGAGGAATTTCTTCAAGAAGAACAGGTAACTCTTCCTGTAGGAAATTAAGATAAGATTCGCCTGTTAGTCGTTGTGGGAGGAAATATGGACCGATTAAATGATCATCAATTACCCCAAGCCATACATTTACGGAAAACTGATGCTGAAAATGAGCTTCAAAGATTCCATGGGGGTTTTCCTCAGCCCATAAGTGATTGTTATGGAAATTTCGTATACACTGTCGTCCAAAAGTAGCCTCGTCAGTAAACAAAACGGCATTTAAAAAATTAGGAATTTGAGCGATTTGATGATTAATCCATTGGCAAAAAAATAGGCGCGGAAAAAAGTCTCTAGGTAGTAGAGCTTGCACACGTTCAATATGAAACGGATACAATTGCTGTTCTTTAAGAATTTTAAATACAGTGAAGTTGCTTACATTCAATATGTTGGCAATTTTTCGAGTACTTGTTTCAGGTGACTCCGCAATTAACTCGAGAACTGCTTCTTCTAGTTGCACAGTTCGTACTTCTCGAGGGCGCCCACAGTCAACCGTTTGTTTCTTAAATGAACCATTTTCGCGCAAACGTTGATGAAGACGAGCAAATATTGTGTGATGAGGTACCCTACGTCCTGGATACAACTCAGCATACAATCGTCGAGCTTGCCGACCATTTCCATTACTTCGACCATAGACAAAATGCATGTCTGACAATTCCGCATTTGTAAAATTTTCCATTCTTTTCGATAAAAGAAAAATTAATTACTTATTAACACCAATGTTATAGCAAACGAAAAGCTTAATAAATTAATAATGACGAAACGCTAATTTGACATTTCTTAAAAATATTCGTATTTAACAGACAAATGTTGACAGTAGCCTAGGTAATGTATTAAAGAAATAAAAAATACGCGTTAAGATGTTTTATTTTTTTGCATCAAAACGGCGCCCCATACGAAGAAAAGGCAAGAGAGATTTTTTGTCACAAAAACGAGCGAGGAATTCAAAAATGATTTTTAATTTGTAATATCTCAGTAGCGTACTATTTTTTGAATGATGAACGTAAAATTCTTAATTGCGTGTCAAAAAATGCGCAATAACTACCTCTTAAAACCCACCAAATTTCATTTGCACATCTCGACCGGTTTCAGAGCAATAAATTAAATCGTCAGTTTTTAAGAAAAACTTTGGCACCCCGTGTATCGGAAAACGAATCAATTGCGGAAGTATAGGTTACGGATCCTACACAAGTATCTACCATGAAATTTTAAATTTCTAACTTTGTAATGCTTTTACATCTATCACTATTTACAAAATGCGAAAAAATAGTATATGTACACAAATCTCGTAAGAAAAGCAGTTTTACTAAACTCAAATAGCTTTTGAGTACGTGCAAGCGCAGTGAGCGAATATCTTTTCGTTTATAAAAATTTCCTTTTCCAAACTTGTTTAATATATTATTAAAAACATATTCATCATGTTCTTAAAGGACTTTATTTTACAAAAGTATCTGCACTTCTGAACTCTGCTGTATCTCGGATGGGATGCATTAGACTCGTAAACAAGTTTATAATATAGAAAAGACCTTTGTTGCGTGCCCTAAGGGGCCATTGTACGTCCGAGAAAAAAACCGCCCGTCACAATACAAATGACATCAACGCCTTTTTCCCAATCTGCGCCCTCTTTTACGGTATTATCACCGCAGCTGAGTTTCGGAGCCATAACAAGAAAAACATTAATAAAAACTCTTTCAAAATATGGCACAAAAGTTGAGTATAAAAGCAACATCGACAGCGCTCCCCGCTAGCAATATAGACGTCTGCGCCAGACATTTCTCTTGAGATTGAATGTCATTGTCTGTTGCCATCGTTCTAACGCTGAATATTTTATATATAACGCAGACTCACTCCAATAACTTGATATATGCAATTTGTATGCTATCTCGCGCCCGCTTCTCGTTCTGTGTACTGCCGGTGTGAAATTCCATTCAATTCTGTCTCGTACAAGTGCTATTAATTTTTGGGAAATGCTCATGTCCCGTGTATTACTCAGGAGTCACATAATGAAAATAGGGCGGTTCCATACAGTTCTACTTCAGCCAAATAGACTAGTTACTTTTATCCAGTTAAAACCATTTCTCATTAATTCTGCTCTTGCTTATTAATTAAATTTTTTTGCATGTTTTGGCGAATGCGTCGGGCAATAAAAACTACCATTTAAGAAGTAATACTCGACTGAAAAAAATCAGTATACTTCAAATATATTTTCTATATCTCCTCATTTGCAGTAGAAAGTAGTATACAGTATGGACATATTTATAAGAATATATTTCTACTATCGTGTTTCCAATTAAAATACTTTGTTGAATTTTTTCAAAAAATAGCCTGATACTGACGACACGCAGTAAGTTATTTGTTACATCTGTGGCTTTTACGCCTTTATTGTGTTAATATTAATATGTTTTAATACTGCCACATATGGAGACGTGTTAGTGTTGTGCGTGGCATCATTCTGATTATGAACAATTTCGTGAAAAATAAATCTATAACGATAGGAGGTATACTACGTGTAGTATCCAAATTTTTTAATTTTGTTTAGCTGTAAAATGTTAAACGGTTATAATAATAATGTATAAGTAGCCGTCTTTAATAGTGTTTTAATTCAAAATTCGTTTGATAGCTATATTTGGATTCCGCCTGCTTTCTATTCCAAGACATATTTGTATTTGTAGTCTTTCCTTTGCAAGTTAAGTAATATAATAATATCTGTAAAATTTGCTAACTTTTACAAAAGTATTTTTAAATTTCTACAATCATGTAACATCAAAAGCTTCAACACCTAGAAATTTTGTATAAAATGTATGACATATTAATATTGCATTAACATTTAGCATAAATATGCGTATATTTTACAAAATACAAAAATGAAATATACCGGGGGTCCTGGTTGTAGTAAGAGGAAGACCTCATTTTAATTTAAACAGTTTTGTAGAGATGTTAAGTCCGTATAATATTTGTTGAGATAGAATTCCAATAAAACTTTGTTATGTTCTTCTATTCATGATAGTAATATCTCTTTAGATGAAAATGAAAATGTCAAATTGATGACTTCCTTAATTGAAACACAAAACTAAATTTGCCTGAATCTCAATCAGTTAGCATAGTTTAAAAAAGTATTTCATATCGAGTTACAGATGCTCATAATGCCACTTTATCGTAAATTTATTTCGAAATTATTTTCCAGATACAAGGTGTTAAAGGTACCTAAAAAATTTTGTTTACTGTAAATATTCTCTGACATAATAGAGTAAATTTGTTGTACGTTATATTTGGTTAAGAGGTACTGGGATATATCGTTATTAAGGACGTCAGAATTTCAACGCCACATTTTGTCAATTTGATAAGTTCATTTTGTAAATTATAATATATTAAAACAAGCTTACTACGTTGTTAAATAAATAGAAAAAAAAATGTTTCACAGAGAAGATTTTTAGGAATTTTTTATTGCAAATATAATTTTACATACAATGTAATAGTAAAAAAATAAAAAAAGTACGCCATTGGATTTTCTACAAGAATTATACGGGAAAATGAATTAATTTTATTTCTGGTATTTAATTTGATTTTAATTAACAGTATTAATTTTAAGAGTTTTATTTTGTTAAATTTTATGATTAAATGTACCCAAACTTCCAAGTTTGTATCTTTTATCAATGATACCTTGATGCATTTTTCTCAAAAATAGTAGCAATAGAACAATAGCATAATTCTTGCAAATAATCTAGTGGCATACAAGTTTTAAGTAAAAAAAATAGATTCTTCATACACCAGATTCACTAGACATTGCCAAAATGACAAATGTTTATCAACAATCACCTTATAATCGGACTTTTGTCCACACATATGAACCGTCTAAAGTGATACTTTATCCGCTAGTGAAATGAAGTAACTTTATTTCACTAGTTGAATAATGGAAAGATAATAAACCTATAATAAATCAAATTTAATTTATTTACTTATTAACATTAACATTTACATTTATAGTAACAGACATTTCGTTTTTTGTTTTATATCACATTTAACTTCCTTTTCGCTAATAACAACCCTTGCACCATTGTTACCATCACTTTCGGAACGCATAACATCTGCCGAAGTTTGTGAAGAAGTTACGGATGTCTCCTCTTGTAAGGAACAGCTATTTTCCTTGCCATAACATGTTTGTTATATATAGACTTGTAAACATAACTTTCTGATACAGAGGATCTCTTCCATCCACCATGCCATTTGATGGTTGTAAGATCGGCTCCTTTATTATCCAACAAAGTTGTTGAAGTGCGCCTCATACAATGGCCAGTATATGCTTCTGGATTTGCGATATTCATGAATGAAACAACTATTGAAGGTACCTTCGCCAATGTGTTGATTCCAACAGGGTGAGAAGTACATTTTTGTACTATACACTACAAAATTCTTCAACGTGTGTTCTTTCCAATACTACAGCTATTTTTGCTTTGTATCTTCTTGATTCACTGGTAGCCTTCAACATCGAATACTTGACCACATAGATGAAATTGCATATTTTTTCTTCAAATTTAAAAAATGACTTCTTTATTTATTGTCACTACTCTCCGTTTTTTCCTCCATTCGGCGAACACTTTTTCGTGACGTTTCCTGAATTTCGCTGGCACTAAATGGAAAGTTGCTTCTGGAGCTTCTTCAAAAACAGCTACATTACCACAATTACTTTCTTGCTTTACCAAATGCAGATAGAACGGTTTATTAAATAATTGATAATAAACAACGTATTGCAGCAACCAGTAAATACATATAACAAAACCTACCATGTTTCATTGAATACTAGTAAGAAATATCAAGTCGTGCGAATATTTTTTTATTAAATTCCAATAATTTTAACTCCACAAATATGATTGTGATGTGATTATGGATAAAACGTTGTATTGCATTAATGTTTTAATGCTATTTAAAACACTTGTACAATAAATAACTATTACTGTTTTCCAATAAATATAGAAAAACTTTATTTTTTCAGAAACCTTTTGTTGGTAATTATAAATCTTTAGCATTTTTATATCTATTTTATTTAGCAATTTTTAGCATTAAATTTTCAGTTATTCCTTTTATTTGATTATTTACAATGAAAAAAAACTTTTTACTGAAATGAAAAAAAATAACAACTTTTAGGCATATGTATGTATTTATGTTCATTGTAAACGAATCAAGTTAAATATATTTTAAACACAATTTTTTGAAAATAAATTTTCTCTATAAATTGTAGTTAATGTTACAATTTATACGTACTAAGTTAAATATCATCTTTTTCTATGCAAGTTGGAAATTATTGTGCAAAATGTATAAAAAATGAATTCACCTGAATATGGCTCTTCGCAACACGGGTAATACTCTTCATTTCTCGTAGCGGGGACTGCTAAAATATCCCATTCGACGGACAGGTAAAATTCAGACAGATCTATTCCCACTTTAACGATATTGCTTCCTGATTGTTGGTCCATGTGCTTCAGGTCTACCTGTAACAAAATTACCGTTATTTTTTTCAAACTATTACCTGAAACTGATTGCAAAGTTTTTCTTGGATTGAACTACCTCACAATTCATGCAAGCACTTTTCTGTGGACTCTGTTAGCCCAGTCATTATAGACATGAAAGAGCCTGTTTCGGGAAAAAAATACTATTAGAAGTTTCTCTGCGGAATATTGTTCGGAAACCTGTTATAAATAAAATATCAAAAAATCAACTCGAGGCTAGTTGGGAAACTTTGTTTTAACAGTGGTCAAAGTTATGGAAAAGTGGTTTTTTGACTCACGTAAAAAAGCTATTATTCATAGCGAAAAAAAGTTTATACAAAAAAGGTAGGTATTAAATAAGCCTATAAAATGAAAAAAGTCCGATTAAATTCCGATAATTTGTTTATGCACAAGAGCTCAAAAATGGTCGAAAATTGCCGTTTTTTTCAATTGCTAATAATTAATGCAATTTTCATCGCAGACACTTGTAATTCAGGATTTTTGAGGCTTTTTACACCCTTAATAAGTGGTAAAAATTTCAGCTCGAAAGCTTCATTGGTTTGGCGTTGGCGGAATTTGTTATCTAAGAAGATGCTATTTTCAATTCATTTTTCCCAAGCTCACAGGCGTTGTAGGGTTTTGATCATTAGTTGTTTTTGTACCTAAATAGTTGTATTGACATAGGCATTTACTGAGAATTTAGTTTTTCAAATTTAATTTGTTTAAAATTGACTGAAAAAATGTTAATATTTATTAAATTGTTAAGATAGGTAATTATTATAAAATAAAATAGTAACCTCTTTACTTTAGTTTTCTTCGAATTTAAAAAAAAAATCGTTGTTGTAAGTTGATTAGAAGCTGAGATATTTTTTTTTTATTTAATCGCAGTGACCTTAATTATTAATATTAAGAGCCGAAATTTGGAGAGAGTATACATTAAGAGCTATATTTTCATGTCCTACATTAACATTAAGGTGAATTCAACTATTTAATTGCGAAAAAGAAGATAGCGGCGATGCGTTCTATTACTTGGTCTAGCGAACGAGTGGGGAGAGCGAGGCGGAGCATGCGCGCTTAACAATTTAATAAATATTAACATTTTTTCAGTCATTTTTAAACAAATTAAATTTGAAAAATTAAATTATCAGTAAATGCATATGTCAATACAACTATTTAGGTACAAAAACAACTAATGATCGAAACCCTACAACGCCTGTGAGCTTGGGAAAAATGAATTGAAAATAGCATCTTCTTAGATAACAAATTCCGCCAATGCCAAGCTAATGAAGCTTTTGGGCTGAAATTTTTACCACTTATTAAGGGTGCAAAAAGCCTCAAATATCGTGAATTACAAGTGTCTGCGATGAAAATTGCATTAATTATTAGCAATTGAAAAAAGCGGACATTTTCGACCATTTTGCACATAAACAAATTATCGGAATTTAATCGGACTTGTCTTATTTTACAGATTTATTTAATACCTACCTTTTTTGTATAAACCTTTTTTCTCTATGAATAACAGTTTTTTTACGCGAGTCAAAAAAACACTTTTCCATAATTTTGACCATTGTTTTAACAAAGTTTCCCAACTATTCTCGAGTTGATTTTTTGATATTTTGTTTATAACACGTTTCTGAACAATATTCCGCAGAGAATCTTCTAATAGTATTTTTTTCCCGAAAAAAAGCTATAATGACTAGCCTATGTATTTTGTGTTTAAATACAATTATGTCATTTTAATAATCTATTGTCGTTCCAATTTGATTTTAAAAATGTATCAGGCTTCACTAGCCCTTTATGACTGTAAAAACGGATTATATCGAGAAATAAACATAGAACTTTGTCGGACTGGTACAAAAAGATTCGGAGACCAATGACGGATTGTCCTGCACAGTCCCTAGCCGTTATTTGACAAACAAAAAAACTAGGAAATACACGCTCGAAAGAGAAGTTTAACTCGCTCCTGCGCTAAATAAAACATTACATACGAACGGCACTCCGGTGGGCTGTTTGCGAAAAGAAATGGAACAGCTTTGTTGATTATTGCCGGGCCGTCCAAGGGCATTATGGCAAAAATAAAGGAAGAAACTGTCGCACGGGGTGTACTGTCGTGTTATTTACGACCAACGGCGTTCATAATGACTTTATTATAGGGTATCTTTTTTATTGTTTTACCAGCTGGGGTTATCTGTTTACGATAAATTTGATGGTGGGGTCGTAATTGTTTTATTGAACGAGGTATAATTGTCAGTCCGTAACTCTTTGGGCCAATTGAGAAAGATACCCCTTTTTCACGGGAGATTTTATCAATTTACTCTTTAAGGGACGTAAAATACTTTATACAGGCCTTTAAATTAATTACAGATGTAAAGTGTTGTGACAAAAACGCAAAAATTAGTTTTCTCGAAAACTGTCGTTAAAAGTTGACTTTTATATGATACTTATATTAAGTGTCAAAACAACAGTTTTGTGTCTATAGAACGTAAAAGTCTTTTACATCCAGAACGTAATAAGTATTACGAAGCGCAGCCCAGTCTATTAAAGCAGCTGAGCCATTACATTTACGTTACTACCAAGTTAAACACATAATTTTTTCGCCGATCAATTTTAATTTGATCATAATAGCAAACATAGCTATTTATTTTATATTGTTAAAATTGTATGAAACTTCTTTCATTAATAATAATAATTTCATCAGTTCGTCTGTGGTCGCTATGAGACGAGTGTTATTAAGTAATTAACTTAGGTACACAGTAATAGCCATATTGTTCCTATTTAAATCCATAATCCTTTAAATCCTGCTTATTATTTAAGGTGAAAGAATTTACATTAATTCGGTCAGAAATTATTGAATCAGCAAAGCAAATATAATATAATTAATTATTAGAAAAATCGAAGAAGATATATTACAAAACATATAAAAAATTTATTTATTATCGGGCTGAGGATAACATTGTCTTTTTCAGAAAATGTACTATTGGTATATTTTTCTGAATTAAGCAAGAGTACGAAAACTTCTTCATTATGGTCAATAGAGGGTGTTCCTAAATATCATATCAAGGGAGGGGGTAATTCTTTGGCTTATTTCATGACTAAAAGTTCATATAAACATAGATCCGCAAACGCTTCGTTACCGATCTACAGGGTGTTGAAATTTTAAGTCGTTTTTAGTATTTTCTCTATAGCTCCCACAGTTTTTAAGATATTTAGCTCAAATTTGGAATATAGGTTACGCTGTTGGGCTTACATCATTGGGCATGCCAAATAGTCGTGACATTCTACAGAGTGATATTTTTTCGGAGTTCATGTCCCCTTTTCTTCCCCTGAACTTTTGTGCGGTGCGCCGCTGGTAGATCCTAAAATCAAAATTGAATTTTATGTTTTGTTGAGAAACTTTTTTGTCTCTTAATGATTTTTTCGTATCTGCAACTGTTATCGAGAAAAAAATAAAAACGATTTTGTGTAAATCGTTAGATGAAATTTAAATTCTTAAAATGGTCCAGTAGGCTCTGGATTTATTTAGATAATCTCTTGTTTCTATTAATTATGACAGTTTATTCGCCTGTTAATCTATTAAAAATTAAAGCTGGCTTTTGTAGCAATGATTTATTACAATACAAAAAACCAAAATAGTAACCATATTAAGGAAACTATGTTACAACAATTGTTGAAAGTGCCGTCTATGAATATTTGAGAATATTCGTTGATCAGGTATCATTCTATTGGAATAGCGCTCCATGTACATACGTCTAGCTTCTCTTACATTATTTTCATTTGCAAGGCCATACATTTCATATGCATTGATTGTTAGTGACTGTAGTTACAGTCACTAAAATTTTGATATAAAGTTAATTAGAGTTTAAAATATTACTATGAATGTATGCGTTGTTTATGAGGCATCCATCAATAAGTTTTGATATAAGCCTACTTTGAGAAAAGTCGACTTTTGACGACAGTTTTCGAAAAAAGTCTTTTACATCTACGATGTAATAGACTTTTATTTCCACCTAGAAAAATCAATGAAATTATAGATGATAGAATCAATTCACCAGGTTATTTATTATTATCAACAAAATCATAAATTATAACAATAATTAATAGTCAATTTAATTATCAATTAATTTAACAGATTACACAGACCAACAAAATTTAACTTTTTTTTGGAAGCAGAAACTTGAATATATGTATATCTGGCAGCTGAATTGCTGTCACATCAGGTTTTTGAGATACCCTAACCTAAAAGTGCAAAAAATAATGTTCTTCGTCATATTTGAGGTTATGTAGTAATGCCATCTATTATTTTTCAAAAAGCTAATACATTGAATCTAAATGTACAAGACTCCCTTTTTCGAATGCCGTTGAGTTTGCTCAAATATCTTTTTTTCGTTGAGATATCACATGTTGAATTTTTTAAGTATCTCAGTTTCTTAATATGCGAAAATCTAATAAGGATCCCTTAGACATCAAGCAGTCGATTGCAATTCAGAAACTTCGTACCCATACGGTTTATGGGTTTGGAGTTGGTGGGCTGGGGGTTTATAAGCTTGGAGTTTGTAGGTTCGGGTTTTGTGGGATTGGGATTTGTGGGTTTAGGGATTGTGGATTTGGGGTTTGTGGGTTTGTGGATTTGGAGTTTGCGAGTATGAATTCGTATATATTGAAGGATTCTGAGTATGAAGTTTCTGAACTGCAATCAACTGTTTGACGTCTTAGGGATCTTTAGTAGATTTTCGCAAATTAAGAAACTGATAAACTTAGAAATTTCAACATGTGATATCTCAACGAAAAAAAAAGAAGATATTTGAGCTTTAACTCAACGGCATTCGAAAGAGGTAGCCTTGTACTTTTAAATTATATGTATTTTTTTTTTAAAAATAGATGGTATTACTACATAATCTCAAATATGACGAAAAACAGTGTTTTTTTGCCCTTTTAGGTTAGGACATCTCAAAAACCTGAAGTGATAAAGCAATTCTGTGGCCAGATTCGGATTCATGGCACCAAAATCCTCCGGGAATGCATATTAGTCTGTCTGCTTCTTGACCCTTGTTGACCTGTGTTATCAAAGAATGTTTGGTATTAAAATATGTGCAGTAAATTCCAAATGACATACTTGTCAAATTTTTAATAATTTTTTAACTGCAGGATACAGTTTTCGAACAAATATTGTGTGATACTCGATTGCGTAATTCCTTTGCATTCTCGAATGATTATTTTTGCTCCCTATCGCTCACAAAAATCTCAATCTAGTGTTAAACATAACTATTATTGTAGGTATTTTCTTTTTTAAACGTTGGTGTACCTATCAATGCTCTTTTCCCAGGATTTTAATAAAGATACACTTAATTTCGCTGTCCTGTCTACGCCGAATACAAAATTTATAGGTTGCTAATACCCACCTGTAGACCATTGTAAGTCCAGGAGCCGAACTTCATCAAGCAGCTCTGCTCGTCGAAGGGGAAATATTGCACGTTTATTTCGCAGGAAGATTTATATATCGACGGCGGCTTCCAGATCACCTCCCCCGTGTAAGACAGGGTCGCCTTCGTCATCAACGTCACCTCGTAGTTGCCGTCGGCGCTGGAAAAAAATTGCAATTCTGACGGGGAACAAAAACTTTTAGATGAAAAGGGTTGCGGCAGGTAGCCTGTTCGTGAAAGCAGCGAAAATATGCGTGAATGTTCAGTAATCCGGGCTCTCGGATGAAACAAAAGCGTCACCTTCGAGTAAGTCCGGAGTTTTGAAACCCGGAGTGCTGGAAAATTCTGTGTATTGTTTTCCTAATAACTCGAACTTCGCGGGACGCTTTTAGCAATAACTCATTTCTATCTTAAAGTAATACGTAATTTTAACCCTGCGTTTAATTATTCCGGCCAACAAAAGAAACAGTTATATGAACTTTACATGCGGAATATGATTTCCTGTGTATTTTTGTCTTCTGAGCACGAATCCATAGTATGTTTTGCTCCATCACCCTTCAGTTTTCCGTAAATCGCTGAATGTCTTCAGGAAATCGCTAAAAATCTTCAGTAAAATGGAGAAATTTAGGAAGTGACGAGATCTTAACACGTGACACATGTTTTTCGACGTTATTTTACTTCCTGGATCCGAATCCGTTGTCAGAATTACTCCAAAACCCTCTAGTCTTCAAAAAATTGCGGAAGATCTTCAGACCTTCGAATGCCGCATGTCAAGATTTCGTTACTTCTCAAATTTCGCCCTTTTTCTGAAGATCTTCGGCGATTTTTTGAAGACTAAATGGTTATGGAGTAATTCTGACATCGGAATCGGATAGAGGATGGAAAATTACGTCGAAAAACAAGTCTCGCATGTCAAGATCTCGTCACTTCATATATTTCTCCATTTTACTGAAGATTTTTAGCGATTTTCTGAAGGTATTCAGCGATTTACGGAAAACTGAAGGGTGATGGAGCAAAACAGACTATAGATTTGTGCTCAGGAGACAAAAATACACGGGAAATCATATGCCGCATGTAAAGTTCACATAACTTTTTTTTGTTGGCCGGTTTTGCCATAATATACAGGGCGATTCACAAATGCTGGCCAAAATTCTCGTATTCTTTGGTCAATTTTAAGGGGACTCTTTCCTATAAAGTTTTTATCTAGGACGCCTCGTTAAAAAGATACAGGGTGTTAAAATTCAAAAAATATTTTTAATTTTTTTAAATAATTTAAAAACTAGTAAGTGACACAATTTGAAATTGGGCACATGTATTTATGTAAATATTGTCCAAAATCTGAGGGTTTTTCCTAAAATTTACATGCTCCAGTGGCGGAGATACAGGGGCATAGTACACAGTGGTATATTTCTCTAAATAAAATAGTACGCCACTGCTTTATGGTAACAATCATAATATTTTTGAATTCGTCTTTCAATTTTCTACAAATTACTATTCTCTTATGTTTTTCGATAAAAGCCTGATTTTAGTAAAACTTAAAAAACGAATTGACAACACCAGACCTCAACCCACTGGATTACTTTTTGTGGAGTGCTGTAAACGACTGATATATAGTGAAAAAATTAATACACTTGAGCAATTAGAAGAAAGAATAAATAATGCTTTTCATAAGATTCATGCAACAATAAATTTCGAACAAATTACATTTTCTTTACTAAAAAGATGTAACGCTTGTGTTCGTGCAAATGGAGGTATTTTTGAGCATTTACTGACTCAAATAAAATCATTAAAATGAGTCTCTTTATTCGAATAAATAACCGAATGATTAATGCTTGTCATGTCATTTAATTAAAAGTGTTTGCAGTAGGTTTTTTAAGTTTTACTCGAAAATCAGTATAGTTTTGTGTATTCATTTTCATGTTTTTGTGTGATATTTCAAAAAAGCACATACACGAATCAAGAAAGAGCTGAAATGGTTAGAGTATACCTTTTGTCAAGAGAAAAAATGCTGTTGCAAGAAGAGGGTATGGATTATCCTGACCTATAAGTACCGAATAAGAAACGTTTGTAAGCTTGATGCAACATTGAAGGGAACGGGAATCAACTCAGAGAGGGATAAATTTATAATCTGAAATTTGAAACGCTATGAAAGAGGATCCTGGTATCTGGTACTCGAAGTTTAGCCACAATATTTCAAGTATGTCATATTCTGTAGAAATCAGGTGAAGAAACAAATTATTTACTTATGTTTGTCTTATTCTTCATTATTTAATTATTCTGTCTGTTAGATTACTTGTTTGTGTAACTATTTCATAGTTTATCTTAATATAATTAAAATAATTAAATTTTCATTTATGTGAGAAGATTTTAAGTGATTTCTGTAATTTATGTACTCAATTTTTTTTGCAACTGATGGTTCATTTTGCTTATTTTTTATTAATTTAATAACACCAGCTGCGATCCGATTTTTTCTTTTCCTGTTCCGCATTTTAACAAATTTTCAACTTGCCACCCACGTGATCCAGATATAAATCCAATTGAACATTTGGATGAACCAAACTGTCTGACATTTCCTAAAGAACTGGTCATGACATGCATTAATAACTGTGTTCCGTATGTAGTAGCGAGTTTATTAAATTCGAACCAGCAACAGCTCATCAAAACAAGATAAAGTTTCGTGTGACATGCTGATTTAATACAAAATGTTAAATTTGGCGTTTCCGCTTTGCGGAGACTAATTGTTTCGGGTATCTATAAAGTTATAATTTGAAATTTTAGGGTTTGTCAGCACAAATGGGAAGGTAATTAATATTGTTTTCAAGTTTGTTTCAGCCTCAGTCGCCTCGCCATCCCCGTTTCAAAGTTTTTAAGCGGTAGTCTTTATTTTTCATTACGGGGTATGGCAGGAAATTTCTTTCGTTATAAACAATGTCATTCTGCACATTATGAGGTCTCAGGAATTAAATAAAGTTTGGCAATTATTCCGGAACAATGTAAAGGGAAAGTTTAACGTTTAAATTTCATATCGTTCCGAGTTTTATCGAATTTAGCATATACCTTATATTCGAGTATAGAAAAAGACGGGATAATTCCTGATATGGGGACGAACGTTTTTCAAGAATGTTGCGAAGGTGTAGCTAATACGAATTTTTCACACGTCGACCCGTGAAATATGTTTTTCTCCAGTCACGTCGCCATCTTGATCTGGTTTTCCATTTTGCATAATAACATAATATTGATGTGAACGCCATTCTACGCGGTACGCATAGAACGTCCGCAAATCGCTAAAAACATAAGGAATTTGTGCGTTCAAGAGAATATAATATATTATGACTTATTTAACAATTAACTCGACTCGAAAAAGATAAAATTTCCTTCTGAAATTTATATCCCTAAACAAAAGAAAGTATATATCGGAACTACATACTTCTGACGATCAAATAAAAAGAGACTGTATAGAAAATTGTTGGCTTTGCAATAAATTTGAGACTTGAAGTGAGAAATATTGACTTACTTATTGAAAAGCACAATGTCCGGTAACCAGATATGTTCAGATGGAACGTATAACATCTCAACTCCACCATATTCCTCGGGATCCCATCTCAATTTGTAGTCACTCCATTTCTGAAAGAAAATACCTATAAATTCACTTTTCTACATGGTGAACCTTTAATACGTATAGTTTACTAAGTAAAACATATAGTTATTAGTTTTGAGAAAAAATTGTGATTAAAAAACTCAAAAAAAAACAAATATACATGACTTTTTGATATAAAACTTGTTGAGTACCGCTGACTTCATGGTAGCGGAACTCCGGTAGATTTCGTAGCGGTAGATCTCCATTATATAGTGTTGCAGGTTTAACTATTAAACTGTAACTTCTTATATGAAGAAAAAAAAATAATAAATAAGCAAATTTTTACAAGATAAGTAAAAAAAAACAGTTTTATAAAAATGTTCATGGCCTCCTTCAACAAATTATTTATATGCACACAAATATAGATCTTTTACTCAGAGATTTTAAATGACTCATTTTAAAATATATACACCAAGACCAAATTTATGGCATTTATTGCATGTTCTATTTGTTCGTCCGTGATATTCGTTACAAATTTATAAACCAAATGCACTAGATAGTTTCGCAGTTGGTTTTTATCGAATTTATCAACTTGTTCATTTGGAATAGTTCTTTGGTCTCGTACCAATTCACGTATAAAACTTTTGCTCACAAAATACACTTTAAATGCTTTTTATGACCGCAATATTTCACTTGAATACGACATAGATGACAAAAATGTTTTTTAAATACAGTTAAAGTGACTTGAAAGAAGAACACCGTCCACGAAAATAACAAATCGACACAAATAAGTTTTCCCGGCAAGTTGCGTTGTCCCTATTTTCCGAGAAACAATAATCGTAGAGTTTGCGTATAGGTACCTTACAAAGTCTAGAGACACAGCTGCAGAATCATTTCCACTATGTTGGAAACCTATTTCTACGTGTTTTTTTTAAGTTTTTTGAAGTAACATTTTCAAGTCTACACAGGGTGTTTATTAAGAACTTGTACAAACTTTAAGGGGTCAATCTTTGACTAATTTTAAGATAAAAAGTTCATATGAACATGGATCCGCAAAGGCTTGGTTCTTGAGATACAGAGCGTTAAAAAAAATGTTTGTTTCAGCCATTATTGTAAATGTAATTAACTTATTTGTAGAAGTAGTTTAGTTTTAGTCCTGTAAGTGATCTAAGTTTGTCACATCGCAATACAACCAATAAAAGACACATTTTTTCACTTGGTTTTCAAAAACTCTTAATGATGCAACTTACAAAATGCCAACGCAGGTTTAACTTTCAGCCACAAATACTAAGAGTAGGTACCTTTTGTACGTAAAATTGAATGGAGAATAGATATGTTTAGTCAAAAATGACATACAGTGCGCCAGAAAGAAGTTATGGTCATTTAAATCCAGGTATAACACTGTAGCAATAGTTTTTCTCGGAAATGTTCTGATTATTATTTCTTAATTCAATCAAACAATAATTAAGTAACGAGCGTTCAAATAAAAACGTGGTCGAAGTTGGCTCTGACACATTGGACGTAGGGAGTAGCTTATAGCGACCAACTTAACCTCATTTCTCAACGAGATGTATAGCAGCTGTCAGTTTCAATAACGTTAATGACTATATAACTTTATTTTAAAGAATAATCGTGATAAAAATAACAAACAATTAAAGGAGCTGCGGAAAGTGTCCCCCTCCTTGTTATAACAATAAATTAAAGCAGCTGCTGAAAGTGTCCCCCTTCTTGTTCCAAGCACTTTTTACACCTGTTCCTCAAAGAATTAAAGACATTTTCTAAGATGCTCGGGGTATTGTTAATTTCACGAATCTTGCCTATAAGTCGAGCCTGCAGATGGTTTAAATCAGGAATAGGCAGTTCAAAAATAGTGTTTTTAAGGTAAGGCCACAAAAAGAAATCACACGGCGTAATATCACATGACCTCGGTGGAAATTCATGTTCAGCATTGAGACTTATTAGGCGATTTTGGAAAACTTCCCTCAACATATTCATCGTCTCGCCGCCGTATGTGCCCTTGCGCCATCTTGTTGAAAGTAAAAGTTTGTAATTTCGTTTTCTTCCAGCTGGTTAACAAAAGGAGCGATAATTTCTTCTCTATACCTTTGCGCAGTAAGAGTACCATTAAAAAAATAGGTCCATAAATCCTCCTTCAATTGAGAGCACACCAAACTCCAATTTTTGGAGCGTGTAGAGGGCTCTCGACAAAAAAGTTATCTGGTTTTCCAGAAGACCACATTCTCATATTCTGTGAGTTTACGTAACCACTTAAATGAAACCAGGCTTCATCAGAAAAAAAGGTGATATTATGAAGTTCACCGTAGTTGTTTAAAAACCATTCACAAAATAGAGCCCGTCGCGGAAAATCAACTTCATGAAGTTCCTGCTGACAAGTTAAACGATAGGAGAACAAACGCAAATCTTTTTTTAACACTGTGTGGCAGGTACCGACTGATACTCCCACCATTTGTGATAAAACACGTACAGAAGTTCTTGGTGCATTTTCCATTATTTGTTGGACATTTTCTTTTAATTCTTCAGTCCGCTTTTTAGGTCGTCCGCTTCCTTCTTTTCTTGTTACACTGCCCGTTTCACGAAAAACATTAACACAACGCTGAACTGCACTTTGAAAAATTTTGTACTCAACAACGCCGGGAAATTGATTTTGAAATTCTATGAAACATTCCTCAATAGAATACTTCCATATTCCATCAATCTTGCGTCCATTTCTAAAGTAGGACTCTATGATAAACACTTTTTGTTCTTGAGAAAACACCATTTTAAACGCTTTTTAAAACGAAAATATTCAAATTGATAGCGGCGATATAGCGCTTTGACAGATGACGTTTAAGTTCATTTGCTATACGCTACGCCCTACGTCCAAATTTTCAGAACCAACTTGACCACGTTTTTATTTGAACGCTCGTTATATCTTCATAACCCAGCATAATTTCGACTTTTGATAGGTATACATTTTTGTGTAAAATACTCTACATATTTCTGATAGTTGCGTGTAAAATATAAATATAAGAATGTAAATTTCCTCACTTTTTTCAACATTAATTTGGATGAAATTAATTGAATAAAACAAAATAATATAGTAGAACTATTGAAAGAAACGAACATGTAGAAAGAATTGCCACATTTTAATGTATTTACTTGAATATTTTGCCTGCTAGCACTTGTGCTTCTTTATTCAATACATCATGTACATATCTTCTTAAATAAGTATCAAATATCGCATAATAAATAACACATTCGCTCTTGTTACAAGACTAATCGAGGGACTGCACTCAAACAAGGTCTTACCTGCACCACCCAAAGGTTGGTGGTCATGATTTGGTTCTTAAGGTTCATCTCTATGAGCTGAGACAACTTGAGGCTTAGCCATACCGTGAGGGTTTCAGTATGGTTGATAACAGGCCGTATGAGTCTGTTGTAGTTGCTGAGCAGGTCGTCGTAAAGTCGCTTCGCGTCCGGATTAGCTTCAATGTGTTTAATTCCAGCTGAAACGTCGTTTAATGAATGTGATTGCCGAGATCGATAGCATTTTTTAGAAATGAAAACTGGAATCCGAAAATATTTTCAGAAACCAGTGCACTTCGTTAAAATTATAAATGATAGTAGTAAATGCCGTTGTTATCCTGTTTATACTGTCAGGAATTGTATTTTGGTGAAAAAAATAATAATAATAAATATGCTATAAAATAATAAATAGACAATAAAGAAACAACTAAATTGCCATTAATTTACTTGAAAAAAATATTGAGAGATGCTGCACCAAATTTTATCAAAATCAAAGTAATAGCGTACTACAAAATGACAGTAAATAGGTAGGTATACTTAGAAGAATTATGTCACTGAATGGCATTGCGTTAACTTTTTATCGAAAAATTAATAATTATTTTTGCTGTGTAGAAAAATAAGAATAAGTACTAACTTAAGTTGTTTGTGTAAACGGGAAAAATTATAAAAAGCTTTTTTGGTTCAGTCCTGCGCATGCTACTGTCCATTCGCTTTGCCCACATTTTGCAAGAACCGAGTACAAACTTGAATTTTTAATTACGAAGCGTTTTAATCGCACAGTCTTTGCTTTTCCACTTACCAGAGGCATCTCTGAGCAGCAGGACAGTAACAAAACATAAACAAAGTTCACATTTCAACAGATTCATAATAATAACAGCAGTTTTTGGGTAGTTTGTTACGCCCACATGTTTGTGGCCAGATGCTGGGCTGGACCCGTTTGACATCCTGAAAATCGATGCTCTAGCGCAAACTCCCTCTAGCGCGTTGAAAGGACGAAAGAGGACTGAGAATATATTGGTTTCGGAGAAGATCTAATGGTTATACTTGCTATTTTGGCTGCGTAAATCAATTATTGTAATTAGAAATTCCAGTTTTTGGAACAATGCAACGCGAATTGAAACCGCAAACATGAAAAAATAATCGGCTATATATTTTGTCCCTCAGTTGCAGTTTTCTCTTCTTCTATGTATTCTGTGCATATCCCCACTAGTATGTCATATCTGCATAATTTATTAAAACAACTTGTAATAAATATAATGTCCTATTATTTACCTGCCAAAATTGAAAAGGGACAGTCTAATCATTATACGTACATTATATTCCCTGTTTGATGGTCCATAACCTACATTGCGCGACTTATCTTTCAATTTTGTTGCCTCATATCTTTTGTAGCTTAATATTTAAAGGTATGACTTTACTGTAATTAAAATGTTGGTTTAATAAACACAAAATATCTCATCCATATTCTATTTAATAGCGTGGCAGGAAATTTGAGATTTAATCTGTGCAGATATAGTTTCATAATTTAACAGGTCTGTAAATTTAATACTGAAAGCCCGTTTTTAATTGAGTTTGTAATATAGTTTATAAGCAGGGTGTAGCTAAAATACGTGGCAAAACACACGTGTATTAATTTAATTTTCTTCAGAATTACTAGTAGTTTACTATTACTATTCTGTTAGTGGCACGAATATTTGAAGGAAGAATAATATAGTTTCTGTAAAATGGCCGATGAAAAAACACCATGTAAGTTCGTAATCAAGACAGATGCCTTAATGAAATGTTATATTAGGTATATTATAAAAAGGCCTTTAATTTTGAACTCTTGCATTTTTTACGTATCTTGTTTAGTTTTTTAGTTATTTCGAAAAAAATTTGTTTCATTATTTCAAACTTTTTTTTAAATTCAGGCATTCTAAACCGGTAAAACTTGCAGAGCCTATTATTAGTACCTAAATAAAGTCAACTGTACATGGATTACGCGTAGTTTCCATTTTTTATGGTTCAGCCATAGATTTTATTGTTGATTTTTTCTCCGAAAAAATGAGATGACCATTTTATTTTCGTCATAACTCCGCGAGTTTTTGAGCTACGAAATTTTTTCAAAAAGCATTTTAAAGATCTTTCCAAGCACTTTAAAAAAGGTTATATTCATTTTCTTCGAAAATTAGTTCTTTCGCCATTATTTTACGGTAAAAGGTTCGATTTTACTTTCCGAAAAATAAACAATCACCTTTAGAGAGTGATAACTCTGTTATTATTACATCTACGGCAATCAACAAAAAATCGAATCGTTATTTCAAAAGCTTTATTTTTACTTTATATTGGGTTTTTCGATAAAACGCAAGGTTTTCAAGTTATTTATCACAAATGGTTGAAAAACATGCTCGTTTTAGATGAAAAATCTACATTTTCAATCGCAAATAACTCGGAAAACATTAATTTTTGGAAAAAACTATCGTTGCATTCATTGCCACCTCCGAGAAGAGATGGCATCCACCCCCATTTTTTTTCAAAAAATCGCTACGACCCCATTTATTAATATTAAGGTATGAAATTTACACAAGTTGTAGTTGAATTAATTAAAGACCACGTGCATTGATACCTTTTCGTTTCCGAATATCCCAGCTTACAATTAGATAGTTTTTACCGCAATCTTCAGCTGGTTGAGCCGGGAGAATCTAAGATGAAAGATGTATTGTGCGTGGTCTTTAGAATACCTGCCCTTTTCTTATTGCATATATATGGCAAATATTCAATTAACAAAGTATAAAAAATTAAGATAATTGCTTTCTCACAAACGTGTAACACAGATACACATAATATTGATATATTTTATTTGTCGATTGAAATTAGCCTATTCAGATAGTCGCTAATCATGATTAATGAACCTAAATTAATTAGTTATCAGTCTTAACATCTACGACTAATGACTAACCAATTGATCATTAGTCATGACTAAATACATGAATGCATGAATGATTAGTGTTAGTTTGATCCATTAATTGACCAAGAAATGTTCACCACTACTTTAAAGTATACAGGGTGATTCCGTCATAATGTCATTAATTGTAGTCATTTACTAGGAAGGCCTAAAAAAGACAGAAAATTGAAAAAAAAAATAACTGGATCTTTTAAAATATAAGCCGATTCGTCGCCTTACTTTGCATCACAGTTTCTGATCGGGAACGCGCCGGCAGACCACAGAGCGTTCGAACGTTGAAGCGAAACAGCAGATTTCCCCAGTCGTCTTTTTTTGCAATTGGTTTTAAAATCAGTGCAGCGCAGCTTTATTAACAAAGTGCTATGGACGGATTAGTGTTGTTTTAATAAAAACTGAATAATCAATTGAACATGATAAACTCATATTCAATTATAAAACATGATAAAAACGTTGACAATATTAAAAATACTAAATTATAATAACCTAAGATTAGAAAACAATTATTATCCTTCTACATTTGCTTTTACCGAGAGATGCAGAATGATTGATAGCGCCGCTACTTACAAATATTTTGTGTGCCGCTCTCTCGTTGTTTTCGCTCTTCGTAGTTGGCAACATTGACAGTGATTTACTTCGTTCAGTGGCGGGTTAAGTGCAGTGGCGATAAGGTATAGAGTCACATACTCATTTTAATCACAAAAATACAACACAATGTTAGCAAATACGATTTGACAGGTCGTGAAGGTCGAAAATCCAAGAACACGGAAAGTAATTTTGATCAAATGGAAGTAAATTTTAATATCTTGGGTAACATTTACGCGTGACGTCAGCTTCAATCATTCTGGATCGCTCGGTATTAACAAATAAATAATACTTGTCAATATTTAAAATTAAAAAAATATATATTATTCATTCATGTGTCTAGGCCAGGGGTCGGCAAACTTTTAAGCCGGAAGAGCCATCTGCAATAGAAATATCAATTTCATGAATTTCAAAGAACCACGAATTTTTATTTCTGCTTTTACATTTTATTTCAAATTTAATTGTCTCTTGAAAGAGCCGCATGCGGCTCGCGAGCCGCGGTTTGCCGACCCCTGT